AAAAGACAAGAGAAAAACAGGGATGCCAGAGAAATGCAAGGGAGAGATAATGGGGGGTGAATGTTTTCTGTTGTGACAAACATGGTGACTTAAAGCAACACAAATTGGTTCTCTTAAACCTATGGCAGCCAGTAGTCAGATATAGGTTTCACTGGGCTAAAACTGAGTTATTGGCAGGGACATAGTCCCTCCAGAATCCCTGGGGAGAGTCGATTTCCATGACTTTTGCAGCTCTGAGAACTGTACTTCTTGCATTCCAGGCCCCTTCTTCCACCTTGGAGCCAACCTTGGAGGCCATCTTCACATGTCTCTGCTCCATCTTCACATAGTCTGCTCTCTTCTGTGTTAAAGCTCTGTAGTGGCAGGATGGCACGGAGCAGAATCTCTGTGAGCAGAGCAGACGGGGTAAAGGAGGAGTCCCAGAGCCTGGGTGGCTTTTTCAGGCTTTTATTGCATTTACCAGGTACACAGCAGGCAGGCGTGACAGGGGGCCGGGAGGCTGGCAGGCCTCCCAGCCCCCGGCGAATCTTCACTCTTCCTGGGCTCTCCAGCGTTCTCTAGTGGCCTTTGCTTCTCTGCTCCTTTTGCTCTTTTCTCTCTTTTGCTCCACTGGCGTCCCCGTGATGCTGCCCTTATAAGACCAGTCTCAGCCCAGGTGGACCCACCTACATATGCCCACACCCCACTCCAGGTGCCCGCCATCAGGCATACATTCAGGACCGCAGGGATCCATCATCAGTCCTAATAGTGGGAGGGCAGAAAGCCTGATACTTTACTCACCCTACAAGCTCCCTCTTCCTTTTGTAAGAACTCATTATTAGAGTCCACCTTGACCCATGAGGAAAATCTCAATATTTAATCAATGTTTAATCACATTTGCGCACATTTGCCACCTGAAGTCACATTCAAGGAGTTAGGACTTGGATATCATCGGGGACAATTCCTGAACCCACCAAAAGAGGTGGACCAGGATAGAAGTGATGGAAATGGTAAGAAATGAGCAGATGTTTGGATTTGCTTTGAAGGCAGAGTCAATGGGATAACTTATAGATTAAAAGTGGGGTGTGAAAGCAAGCAATCAAGAACATGTGAAGGCGTTGGCCTTAGCAAAAATGAGAGTTTCCACCAATTGAAAAGAAACCGTATAAGGAAAGCATCTGGGCTAGGGGAATTTCTCTCTCTTTCTCTCTCTCTCTCCCGCTCTCTCTCTCTCTCTCTCTCATTTCCTTGGTCAGTTGGTTGGTTTGTTAATTCAGAGGGCTCAGGGACTCAGGAGCATGTTCGTTTTGATGTTCCAGTCAAGGGAGCACGTTGAAAAAAAGCTGGCTCTAGGAACCTGAAGTTTATGAGAGACGTAGTAAGAGCAGGAATGACACGGCAGATTTTCTGTGATCCCATGCAGACGGGGTAAAAGAGAAGTCAGTCCTAGAACCCTCAGTGGCTTTTGCAGGCTTTTTTGGGGGATTTTCTAGGCACATGGCAGGCAGGGGTGCTGGGGGTGCTGGGAGGTTGGCAGGCCTCCCAGCCCCCAGCAAGTCTTCACTCTATCTGGGCTCTCCGGCCTTCTCTCGCGTTCTCTCTGCTTCTCTTCTCTGCTTCTTTCTTGGCTTCTGCTAGCATCCCCGTGATGCCACCCTTAAAAACACAGTCTCGGCCCAGGTGTACCCACTTCAGGTGCCCGCCATCAGGCATGCATTCAGGACCACAGGGCGGGAAGGCAGAAAGGCCTGATACTTTTTACCTTACCCTACAGACATCCACATAGGAGGGACTCATTTGAGAACCTTCAGTTTGTCTTTCAAATTTTGAAATTTAATGAAATGATTAAGGGTATGAGTGTGGTTAGAAAAGAAAAGAAGTCCAAAGACTGAAGTCTGGGGTACTCTGATCATTCAAGGTCAGGGAGGGGAGAAGTTACCAGCGCAAGGCAGCAGAAAGATACCAGAAAAAAGCTATTGGCGAGAAAGGAAGACATCCAGAAGGTGGTGTCCATCCTGGGGGCTGGGGAAGACAGGAGACAGGGGATGGGGTAGAGGTGGGAAGGAGAGCTAAGCCCCTGGAGGGAGAAGGGTACCCATGGGACGAGGTCACACCTGCAGAGGTGCCTCTAGGGTGTGGAAAATCTGTGCATCTTTTCCCATACAGCCAGTCTCCCTCATGCCATCTGTGATTCCCAGGGGACAAGTGTATCACCTGTTTCTAGAAAAGGAAAATATCTCAAGCAGCAAGGTCTCCACCTGCTCGCCACCCACTGAGCAGCCTTGCATTGTTATTGATTGGGTGCTCAGAGCATTAGTTCCTGAATAGAAAGCAGCAGCTGTGCTAATATCACCCACAGGGCAACTCCCCATGAGGCCTGACTGACATTCTGAGCCACTGGTTTCATATTTTCAACTAGAAGCCTCATGCTAAATAGCTCCATTACTTCACACATCATATATGAAACATCTATCAAGTTCTCAGAATCAAATTGAGTGCAGCACCTTCATTATGCAACCTGCACCAGATAGCTAGAAACAGCTGCGTGGCAGGCAGTTGAGGATCCTCCAAGCTACCAACTTAGATGTTCTCTCTCTTTCCCTGCTCCTCCCAGCTCCTCTCCTCCTCCACCTCTCCCCTTTTCTGTCTCTCCCTCCCCCTTACCAAATCCTCTGGAGTTTTAATCAGTACTTAGAACAGTTTCGTCAATTTGGTTGCATGTTGGAATCACCTGGAGAATTTTCGTACCTGTTACTCCTGAGATTCTGATTTAATTGATCCTGGGTGTGAGCTGGGCTTAGGGAGTTTTAAAAGCCCCTCGGGTGATTCTAATGTGCAGGCAAGTCTGAGAACTAGTGAATCCCTGTGCAATAATCTAAACTGTGGCAGGAGGAGCGCAATCCAAGTCAACTCCCTGCCCTGAGTCTCCCTAACATTGCTGGTTTGTAGGTCAAAGTTTTGGTGCCAATGTGCCAGATCTTAACACCACCACAGATGCAGCATACAATTGCCCTGTATGTCCCAAGCAGCATGATCCCATGGGGACTCTGGGATCCTACACCTAACTTTTTTTTTTTTGGTAAAGATTTATTTATTTATGCATACAAGAGTTGGGGTATAGGCCAGAGGTGGGGGGTGGAGAGGATTCACTAGAGACAGGGTAGGGAACAGAACAGGTAGATTGACCGAAGTACACTGCTGAGAGAAACAGCAGGGGAGTCAGGAGAGATCTGCTGCTCCATGTGGGTAGCTCCCTGGCTGGTCGGGAAACGAACTCATGCTGCGGTGGCTGCGGATTGCTTCATAGGTTGCATCTTAACCCTTGAACCACCAGGGAGGCCCCCTACACCTAACTTTTAACTTCTCTCCACAAGCTCCTGCCTAGGACACCGTCAGTCAGCCTTTTATTTTGGTGACATGAGAGTTCTAGTTGCAGCTCTGGCTCTAGTTGTAAGCGATGGAGAAGTAAGATAAAGTGGATGGAAACACCCCAGGGCACACATACATTGCCTGTGCATGCGCACATGGGCACACACGGCACCAGTGAGTCAGATTCTGAGGTGACATTCTACCGGTACAGAAATCCTGAGAGAGAAAGGGACGGCTCCACTGTGCTCCATAATGTCTGTTTTTGTGGCAACTGCTTGGAGAATTATGGGGAAACCTGGGTCCCTTGCCCCAGAGCAGGTCTTGCTCAATAAATTATACTGCTTAGAAGCAACTTGCCTCCCCTGCCCGTCGCTCCCCATCTGGGTTCCTTAATTGGCAAGATCTAAACAGTTCTATGCCCAGGCTAGATCCAAGTCTATTAAATGCCATAACTTTCAGGCTCTTTGAAAATAAAAACTGGCACGAATTTCTAGATAGCAACGTAGTTAATATGTCTCAAGAGCTTGAAATATCTCCAATTATTTTACTTCCCATCCTAAGGAACTAACTCATCAGAGATATGGAAAAAGATTTATGTACAAAGATCCTTGACAAAGTGGTATGTACAATATCAAAAAAATCAGAAGGAACCCTTCACCTTCTATAATATAGGATTGGGTTAACATATCATGGCATATCATAGACAACAAAATAGGAGAATTGTTAAAAATATATATTCTGATAATTTTAATATGAGAAAGTGCTCACAATATATTGCTAACTTTCAAAAAAATGCAGGTGAAATGATTCATTTTTGCAGTTCCATCTAGTTGTGGCTATTTCCACTTATTTGTAGAGAGGAAAACTCTGGGCAGAAATACAGTAGCAGTGGCAACATGGATTGTGTGGTTGTGATTGATCTCTATTTCGCCCCCCCCCCCCGCCGCCCCCCGGGTTTCCAAAGTTTTTACTGGGTCTATCGTTAGGGAAAAAAAATTAAAATGTTATTTCTTTGAATAAAGAGAAAATTTCGTTTGTCATATGACAGTAAGCTTCTGTCAGAGACTGATCTCAGAAGTGACCCCTTAGTAGCCCCCCATCATGCCGGGCCCACACGGATGCATTCTAAGCTCTCCCTTGCTCAGCACTGCCCTTAGGTCCCGCAGCAGCTTGCCTGTGGGTCAGCCAGGGAACCACCCTGCATCCTCCCTCTGCTGCCTCCCCTGGGGGCTGGGGTGTGCTTTCAGGGCAGTGGGTTCCGTCCCACCCAGGTAAGGACCGTGTGTCATTCTGGTTACTCTTCAGCATTATGAACTCAACAGGAGCCTCGGGAGTTAGAGAGCTCTTGCCTGGACACGTAGGAGCCCATATGCTCATGCAGTTTAGAGGTATTTATTAAGTGTCTTACAGAAGACACTTAATGTGCCAGGCAAAGTTCCCACTCATCCTGCTCACGCTGTTACTTACGGGTTGTTACTTGAACAAGCTGACTGATGGGGTGAAAAGGCAAGTTTGGGACTAAAGCTTGGGGTTACACATGGGAGATAGCTCCACCCTGCTAAGTAGTGGCTCTGTGGGGGTTGGAGACATGGCCTCACCCATGGGCACTCTCCCTCCCTGTCCCTCTCCCTCCCCCCTCTCTGTTTCTTTAGATGGAGGTGATTGTGGGGGACTTCGGGATCGTGGTGGTGCCCCGGGATGCAGCCGATACAGACCGAATCATGAATCACTCCTCCATACTCCGCAAATACAAGGTGAGTCCTCCCTCTCTCTACTGTGAGCCGTCCCTTGGGGGGTAAACTGGAGTAACGGGGATACAAAAGACTGTGTGAGAGGCTGATGACCACTCTCTGCTCTGTCCCTAGAACAACATCATGGTGGTGAAGGATGACATCAACCATCCCATGTCTGTTGTCAGCTCAACCAAGAGCAGGTACGTTTGACAAATGGCGAGAGACACCTTGGCCAAAGAGGCTCACTAGTTTCCATACAACTTTCCTCAGTCCAAACTTCCCCTAGAGTGAGTCCGTGACAAAGAACTTTGTCTTTTGGAAAGCCACCCAAAGGTGCACTCGTCACCCTCCTTTCATCCCACAGGCTCAGCCTCAGTCATGCAGCTATGTCTGCTTCAGGGAAGGCTAGAAAGTAGAATTTATAGCTCGGCCGCCATGTTCCCATCTAAGACGCAGACATTTCTACTACCAAAACAGAAGAGGAAGAGAATGGACACTATTGGGTTGTTGAAAAGTCATGACGTATTTTTTTCTATGTTTTTCTTCTCTTATCGGGGCTTCTATTGGGAGGAAAAGAAGGATTTCATCATAAGAACCCCAGTGGGATTGTGGCTTCATTCTCATGAGAACAGGTTGCAGAGAAACACAATGGAGTGAAACAAGAAGAGATAAAACATTAAAATGCCCACTGTGTGCTTGATGCAATTCTAAGCGCTCTGTATAACTCATTTAATCTTTTTACTAACTGAATGAGCTACCCAAATAGTGCTCTAATTTTACAGGAGAAAACTGAAGAACAGATGGGCTTAAATGACTTCCCTCAGGGATGACGTGGCATCAGCAGGATGGGGGAGGGATTTTCCTAACAGGGATACATTTATTTGCCCAAAGCCAAGGCTGGTCACGACGTGTTAGGTAAGCACTTCCCTTGAGAATGGGCAGGTCAGTCCTTCTGTGTTGCTTCAGGGAAGGATGTCCATCTGATTGCCATCTCTTCTTGTCCAGGCTGGCCCTGCAGCATGGGGATGGCCATGTGGTGGACTACCTGTCCCAGCCTGTCATCGACTACATTCTCAAGAGCCAGCTGTACATCAACGCCTCGGGCTAGCGACCACACAGCCCCGCTCTCCACTCTCCCCATGTCCTCTGCCAACACACTGGCCCCTCCAGTCTGTCAGTCCCCCTGTTTCTCTCCTGCCTCGCTGTTTCTCCATCTCCTCATCTTGACTGTTACCCCACTTGCTGACTCAACCCCCCACAGTGTGGGGACCTGCAGAGAACCACGGCATACCAGATTTCGCAGTCATCTTTGGACAAACTTTCCTCTAGTCTCTGGGTTGGGGGTGGGTGAGGGAACAGGGTGGGAGTTGGGGGAAGAGCAGTCCTTGAAGATGTGCCGGCGTCCGTCTCCCAGCATGCTCTAGAGAGCAGCTCTGGTGCCCATCCTCCCAGCATGCTCTGGGGAGGCGGCTCTGGCTCTCGCCTTCCCAGCATGCCCTTTACCACAAAGGGCTACTTTTCTTTCTTTTCTTGTCTTTTCTTTCTCTCTTTTAATTTAAAAAAAAATTGGTGTTGTTCACTCTTCATAGAACTTGGATGAAATCAGTGTCCATGGTTCTTTACATATGTCATCTTGATGCATTCCTGTGGTATCATGTCCCTTAGGTAGGATAGCGAAGCCTGCCTCGGCAACCAGTAAGCGCGTGGGGCCTACACCCAGTAAAGAAGGCTCAGCCACACACACTCTCCCAGGGGTCACACACACGGCAGCAGTGGTCTGGGGTCAGGAGTGAAACTTTCATATTCTGAAGCCTGACTGGGAATAGTAGGGTTTCTTAGAAGGCTTTGTTTCCTTAGCTTCAGAAACCCATTTTCTAGAGGATGTGAGCCTGGAATCACACAGAGACAGTCCGTCTTCATTCCTTGTGGGGGTGTGACTGGTGGCAAAGAGAGGCATCCCTGCCAGCCCAGGAATTTCTAAGGAAACTTCAGCTCGCCATGGAAACTCTTGGAGGCTGTACTTAGTCACATTTCGGCATCTGAGAAGATTCACATAGACAAGCCAAATCCAAATAACGTAGCCATTTCTTAAATAAAACATGTTAGGAATTCACTCAACCCTAGAGATCTTTGCTAATTGGAATTATTCATTGCGCATTTGGCCTGGAACCATCTGTCATAATGCTAAGACTGGATGACCTAGGAAAAATAATTTGTTGCCCTGTTGGGAACTGATGATTTCCTAGCAGTCAGTTCTTTCTTGGCTTTGTGTCTGAGGCTGGTCATATCTCCTGCTGAGCCCAGCACCCAGTCACTGTCTGTGGAAATCTACCAGTCAGGGACAACACAAAACAGAGATCTTGGAGGAAGAGAGGTCATGAGCACCTAAACTGTTTCACCACTTTCCTCCCTAGTTTCTCATTTACCTCTGCTGCCCGTGGAAACAATTTTGACAGACTCTGTTCCAGTGCTTGAGGCCTCACACACCTCCTGCTCAGAGAGCCTAAAGGAAATTATGTTCTTGGGCGTTGGTCTCATCTCCGTCTCTGGCTCTTGGTTTCTGGTTGTCTCTGAGGAATGGCCCCTGAACAGAGGATAATTTTATCAAAATCTAGTGTCAGCTCTGGCCAGGAGTGGTCTGGTGAGATCTGACACCAGGAAGTGTTCTTCACCCTCAAATTTCATATCAGCGACAGCCTTCAGAAGTCTCCAGGGAGAGGAACTGGAGTCAACCCAAAAATATAGTAGAGCAGTGTGCCTGGAGCTGTCTTTCCTCCTAGGTGAGAGAAGTAATCTCCAGGGGAGGGAAAAGAAGAGATAGGAATTCTTGGGTCTCAGAGTTTGCCTAAGGATCATGGAATCAATCACTTATAGCAACCTTTAGAGATTTGTTGACCCAGTATTCTCCTTTAAAAGATGATGGAGCAGAGATCCACCAGATGAAATGACTGGTCCAGGGTCACACAGCAGCATAGAGCATAGAGCTTGGCAAAGAATGTCATTTCCCTGATCCCTAGGTATTCACCCCACAAGGTCTTTTTCCACACATTCCCAATGGTGCTGGCCAGGTAACATGGTTTCTACTCTTTGCAGCCTTAGGCACCTTCCTCTTAAATGATGCTTGTCATTTAAGGTGCTCGCTACATATTACATTGTGTGTCCTGGTCCTGAAGGAGGATATGATGGTGAGGAAGGTTCTGGTTAGGTTTCCCTAAAAAATCAAGAGATCGCAATGTCTTAGAGGAAATCCCAGAAAATGACCCTCTGAATCCAAGAAAAGGTTGCTTTGTGGGAGGCTAAGAGAGACCCAGAATGTTCTCAAGATGACATTATTGTTGGAGAGAGAAAGACAGAAGATATTTGTTTAGGCAGAGCAGTCATAATCCAGGAAATGAAACAAAGGAAAACAGGGAGCTGGGTTTCCTGGGGGAAACATGGCATTTTCAGAAATATGGAGTTTATAGAATGTCTGAGTGTCTGCATGAGTAGAGCCAAGAAAGACCTCCTGGTCTTTCTTTGTCTCTTGGGTGCACTGTGTTACTCTGCTGGACTCTGTGATCACTTAGTCTTCCACCCATTAAAGGGAACTAGCTTGGCCTATGTGCTCAGTGTGAGGTGAGAGGCATATAGGGGAGGACAGTGAGGAAGGATGCTAAGCAAAAGAATAATAGAGGTAGGTTTTGCAGGAATTAAATGGGACAGACCCAATCTTGGTGCGTCACAGGGATCACAATACAATAGTTTTTCTTTAGTAAAGAAAAAAGTGAATTCCCTTTGGGGTAGAATGACTCATTTCCCACCCCTCACATTCTTCATTTGCTAGGGGAGCTAGTCAGAGCCCCTCACTCAGCCCAGGGCAGGACATTGTGGCTGTGGTCCAGCCAAGACCAATGACAGGAAGATGATTCAGAGTATGAAGTGGTGCCCAGATGCTGGCAGAAGGAACCCCCCTCCCCCGCCCGCCAACTTCACCTCTCGGGCCCTGCTGCTTCTTACAAAGGCCAACTCAAGGCTGGCAATGATCAGAGATCATGACAATGGCATGGGCTGGAAAGGACATCAGGAAGGGTCTGGAGCCTCATTTCCTGCTTACCAATGAAAAATGTCCCTCCCATTTTTTCTGAAAGTGGCTGATATGAGTAAGAACAGGCAGGAGGGAAGTTCTTTGTGTCAATGACTCTCTCCTCAAGGAATGGCCCTTTGTGAGGTCTGTCCTGCTAGCAGGTACCTCATTCACCACCCCCTCAAGCCCAGACAGCCTCTGGGGCCTCCTTATTTTCATTTTCCTTGAATGTACATAGAACCTGGGGAGGGAAGTCTCTTACTAAAGTGCCTGAAACCCAGAGCTAGAGCTTCTAGAGACTCTATTCTTCCTGTCTCAGCTTGGCCAGCCTCCCCCGCCCCCTCCCCCAACGTTCTCTAGTCTCATGCTCCAGCTTCTCAGAAAGAATCAAAGAACTTGCTATTCTAATTAAGTAGAAAGCGAGATTCAATAAGCAAAAGGCAGAGAATTAGAAGGAGGAAACAACCTCTATTTTAACAGCCCAAATCTACTCTCCCAAATGGATACACACACCTTAGGGGACTAAGAGAAAGAAGCATGTCATGATATTTTATCAAGAAAGTAATGCAAAAATAACTCAGTAGAATATGAAAAGCTCAGGATCTCTCCGAAGGTTACTGCAGCAAGGCTGACAAGTGAGATGGAAAGGATGGAAACAGACCAATTTTGTAGATCATTAGTACACCTTAGGAGTAGCATTGTGGTAATGATAATGAGTATGTGCTGTCCAGTTCATCTGTCTGCACCTTCCTTAGCTGCCCAGTAAACTCACCTTTTCACGTGGTTTCCTTGTCGTGCAAGTTCAGAGTGTCCTTTTGACAGATTCCAGTTGGTCGGGAATGAGTTACACTTTCCCTCCTCCTTTGTAGTCTAGGTCCAGGACCCAGAACTCAGCTTGATCCAAGCGGTCTCAAGGATTGGCAGGGGAGGGGGGAAGCTTTTTTAAATCACTTTTTAGTCATTGAATCTGCCATTTTAAGTGTAAGATTTGCTTTATGGAAATCAATTCATTAATAAAAAATTAAAGTTGCAACACCATTTCACAGTGAAATATTTTGAGTAAAATTTGTTGCTGGAGTAGTCATGGGCAATAGTTTTATCAGCAAAATGTTTCAATTGTGTTAATAAATAAGACATGCTACAGGAGTCTTTTATCTAGGTCTAGAATCTTCTTTGTCAGTTGCAGAATTAATCACTTTTTATTCCCAGAGTCTTACTTGATAAGAGTCAACAGTTGTAAAAAACATTCTTCGAGCGTATTGTCTATGGTTTACTTGATGCCACATCTATAGTATAAAAGTATCCACAGCCAAACTCAAGGATCATTATCAGGCAAGAATAATTAGCAAATTTATGAATTGTGCCTAAGCTTTCTCAGCTAAAAATATTCAAATATGGTCCTTCCTGTCAACCTAGGGATTAAGTCTCAGCACTATCACCACAACAGACTGAGTTTGATCCTGGCTAGGATGCTGAGCCACATATGGCACAGCAGACCTCTCCTGACTTGCCCACTGCTCCCCTCAGCAGTGTATTTCATTAGATCTGTCTGTTCTGCTTCCCACTCTGTCTCTGGTGAATCCTCTCATCACCCCAACCCCATACCTCTGGCCTACACCCCAGATCTTCTACGCAAAAATTAAAAAAAGAACAGATCTTAGACCCTACCTAATCTGCATAGTCTGGTATTGGTTAGCTTTGGCTTCTTAATGAAGGTAGTTCTTTGTGAAGTAAAAATACATTTGTGAAAATTTTAAAGTTGAGTAACTTACTTCTTGGCATGACCAATCTTAAGACAGAAGCTATTAAACTCACAATTTGTTTAGGCAATGTAAACAAGCAAGCATGAATAATTTCATAATCATTTAGTCTTGCTGTCACTATTTGTTCTTACTTCATTTTTACCTGTGACATATAAAGTGGATTGGTTTAGGTCTAAGTGGTGATTATCATTAGCTAATATCAAAAAAGAAATTCCTCATCAGACCAGCTCATTTAAGACTTAGTTTCTTGTCAGATTAGTTGTAGGTTTTTAAAATCATTTTGTTTCCTAGTATTTTTATTTGTTTGTTTTGAGATGAGCGAGTTTTGCATGTATCCATGCGGGCTTGGTGACATACCATGATGTTTGACATGTCCTGTAAATTGATGACTTGTATTTATGTTGCCTGTTTTGGTCACAAACCTCAATACTTTTTTCCTCTGTCCTGAGAGTTCATAATGATGAGAAATTGTTTAAAACTGGGTATAAACACTGGTTTAATTTGCTCTCTTATACTAATGTATACAGTATACATACTAAATATAAGAACACACACGTACATACACATTTCTTCTCTTATCACCCATAAATAAGCAGATCTTGGAATTTCCATGTTGCCAATAGTATTAAGAAATCATGGAGAAATTCTAATCTGTGCTTTGCAGGAGGTAAAGTGGAGCTGCAGCAAGAATCCCTAACATTCCCATGGTCATGAGAAACACTAAAAGGAGACATGATAAACATATTCCTGGTCCTTGAGATTTGTTCAAAACATTGGACTTCACTGAGTATGTTTTTACCCTTTTCTCCAGTCTCCCACGAGTGCTGAAAAGAAACCACATCCTGGGATAAGATGAGAAATGCATCTGCTCAGTACTGATGATTCTGGGCAGTTTCATTTCTGCCCCGGTCTCTAAACAAAAATTCCTGTGAGTCAAAGTGGATGTTAACTATGTCTAATAGCCTCCCAATGGCACCACTAATCAGAAAATTCAGAGCAGAAGTATAAGAAAGTTTCAATACAAATTATAAATGCTGGCGAGATATCATGCTGCCAAGATATCAGAAAGCAAGCTCCCTTCACTTGGCAGGGTCAGGGAAAAAGCTGACAGGGGTTAGGCGCTGGGGTGGCTGTCTTTAAAGGGCCCATGCCCCTTCTTGCTCCTTAGAGATAATATGTCAAGACCTCAAAATGAGGGAATCATTTCTATACCATGGGAGTCGCGTGAGTCATTTTCCATTCCCCATCTCCACTCGGAGATCATCTCCCTCTTGTTGAGGAAGGCATTCTTCTGACTTTCTTAACTCTCTTTCCCACTGAGAACAATTTTGATTGCATGTGCCTTGGTTCTGAACAAATGGGGATCGGTCCCTCACCAGGTTTCTTACAATATGTATTGTTCACTTCTATACTGGGCAGAGACAAGATAGCCAATTACAGACGCATCCTCCCCATTCATGGTGTAGAACTGTGACTAAGAAGTGACTTCCTACCTAGGGACTTTCTCCCGAGGCCCTTTGCAAGTTCCATGTAGTCACAATACTGGGTTCTAGACTACGGGATGTAAGAGAAAATGATATGCCGCCCTTCCTGGGCCTAGTTCACCAAACCTTTCTTTGTTCTCCCTCCTCCATGTCTCTCCTCCCAGTAGAGTGGAAATGATCCCTCCCAGGGCAACCTTGGAAGTCACGTATTATAAATGGCAGAGTCTGGAATTGCTATGTGGAAGACAGTCCTGCCAACTTTCTTCCCATCCAGTTTGTTATGGAAGCAAATAAAACAAAAATAAAAACCAATTTTAATTTAGAGTAATGCACATTCTTAGGTCTAAGAAAATTGTAGTTTATCCAATCTAAATAATACATTGTTTATTTATTTTTAACAACTGTGAGTTGTTAATTACACTGAGAATGAGAGACTTGTAGCCTGTGTGACTGAGTATGTGGAATAGGATTATGAATTCACTTCACAGGAAGTAAAGCTAAGTGACCAGGCCCATCAGAAATCAGGAGGGGCCAGGAGCAGAGGCTTGTCCTCAGCCACCTAAGTAGATGAATGATTCAAGATCTTACTCTATGAAGTTTAAATTATTTTTTAAAAAAACATGACAATGTACTGCAGATGATTTTTATCTTTATTTTATAGCTGATAAAAAATATTGATAACCCTCACCCTGTATGAGTTGTTCCAGAAGTAAATCCTTCTTCATGCTTAGGAGATGGCACCAGTTAAATCTCTTAAAGTGCTCTCATGGTTCGCGAGGGTAACACAAGAGGCTCAGAATAGGAATCAAAATGCTAATTGTGGGATTCACTGTTCCTTCTGTGGCATTTTAGTTTCCATTGCTTTGGTACCTCCATTTTATATTTAGAGTTTAATAAATTAGAAACTGACCATCGGCATCTAGGAACTGTTCTTTATTTTGAATCATGCCTGTGAAAAGCCAAGGAAATACAGAGGTGAGGCAGCACCAAAGTCTTCTGAGCCGAGGTAGAAGCACCTCTGGTTTTTCCAGAAATTCTCACTGGTGTTACTGTGACTCAACAGTCTGTTGCAATCACTTGTGGGAAAGGGTGGAGTGACAGTTGGAATGCACAGAAGTGTGCACAGCCCTGCACCATCTCAGCTTTGCCAGAACCCAAGTGCCCCCATGGGAGTGTCTTGCAACATATGTTCTGTTGAGCAAAAAGGTGGCAAACCAGGGGCTTACTAAAATAAACAGCACTAGGGATGAACAAAATTTGTAAATTTAAATTTATTTCTTTTAATATTTGTCATCCTCACTAGACAATCAACTCTATGAGGGCAGAAACTATGTCACCACTGTACCCCAGCCCCCTGGCACACAGTAGGTACTCAATAAATATGTTGGAAGGATGGATGGATGGATGGAGTGGAAGGACGGATGAATTCTACCCAAGTGGGAGTAGAGACATTCTCTGTTATAGGAAGAGAATGTGTGTGTGTATGTGTGTGTGTGTGTGTGTGTGTGTGAGAGAGAGAGAGAGAGAGAGAGAGAGGAGAGAGCGAGCAAGAAACACTAAAAGGAGAGAGAGAGAGAAAGAGATGGATACATATAATCTTGGTATTTGAAAAGTGTGACTGAATTAGGACTACTAAATCTTCTAGATAATTGCACCTCTTTCAATGCCCAGGCTACCTTTTTTTCTAACAGTTTGAAAGCCAAAAGTAAGTATGTTCCCAAGATTTGTTTGCTACTTGGCAATGCTTTAATAAAAAATATAGTCTCTAAATTGTCTCGGCATCATCAAGAGTAAGGCTGTCACTCCCCGGTCCAGAAGGACTGGAAGATGGCAGGACACCAGCAGGCACCTCTGTTCCAATGGGCCAGCCTCACAGTTCCTCTCTCCATCACACTCACTTCTTCCAGCTTGAAAGGAGAGTATGTGTTTATTAACAGGTTGGTAAGTGGGGGGGACCTGGTCAGCAAGAAGCTTACAAGGGACACTTCGAGGCAATAGTATTTTACTGGCCATGGTAAGGCTGGACCTTACTCTGTTCTGACATTAGGAAGAAATTCATGTCTGAATAAAGTCAAAAACTTTCCTTTGGTCACATTTCTCAAAGAATAAGCTGACTAGCCTAGCAGCACTTGTCCATACTCCAGGACTTAGTTTCTGACTATTCTGAGGCAAACATATGCTGTGCAGTTTGTCCTTCCATCCAATCTACCCTTTGGGATCCTGACCTTTGACCAGTTTCACACTCAATGCTATCTGCCTCACTGCCCAGCACCAGGAAGCAAAAAGCATCACACTGACGCAATAAGACTTTTATCTGGCTGGGGTTTCAGGGAAGGGATCAGCTTCCACTGACCTGAGCATGTCCCATCCCACACCACCCACGTGAGATGGCTTCTGAGTCCTGAGGTCTGTATCCCAAGAGCCTCCATTGAGACGTTGCCATGACAGCTTCAATGCTGCTCAAGAACCTGGGTGTTGTAACAGCCGGGGGGCAGGTTGTCCCTAATGTTCTCTAGATTTTTCACATCGGCCAGGATCCCATCTATGTTCGTCTCTAGCAAATGGAGGTGATCCCTCTGCCGACGTGCTCGCTCTTCCAGCTCTGACATTAAGGGCCGCAGTTGACTGTTGATCTGGGCTTTGGCACGGGAAAGCTTCTGTTCCAACAGGATCAGCCCCTGTTCATCCACACTGCCAGGCTGATCTATTTTGGGGAAGGAGAAAGAAGTTAACAGAAAAACTATGGTTAGATTTTTTGGGACACATGCAGGCCCTTCTGCTCCCTTAGCTAATTCCTCTTTCCGTGTGCCTGGAGAAAATAGTATGCCATGCATTTGAAAGGCTTATTTTAAATTAGAAGTGAACTAGAAAAAAATCTCACAGTCCAATGACCGGGTTATTAGCAGCCCAGTTCAGCCTCCAGGCAATATAGTTAAGCAATATGCACCCTGGATTTCTGCTTTCATGATAGGGCCAAGAGTCAGTGTTCTGGAAAATGAAGAAGGAAGGTCATTGGGACTGAGTACTGTCCAAGGTGTCTGCCCAACATAACTCACCCTAGGATCAGAATCAAGTACAAAAGTACAGAGCATGCTTTCTAAACCACCCTTGGGAAATATCTTGCTGTTGTCCATTAGAAGACCATAGAAACTGGCTGGGCTTCAGGGCTTATAGAGGCCAAGGTATGTCTTGCTATTTGGGGGATGGATTCCAGCTGTTAATAAATGATATATCAAGTCTTCATTCAGGCTTGGGACAGTGGGGATCTTGCTAGATGTTATTTTATTTCCAATATGAAATGTGGTTATATTATTCAGGCATCTTTTACCCATTAATGATCTAAAATGAGTATCAATATGAAGAGCCCCTGGTCAGATCTGTGTGGTATGATTAAGTTTAGTGGGTCCTTGGTCAATTCAAGCTGAAGGTCAGGTTTCCTTGCATAGCTAAGTTGTAGAACAAGCACTTGACAGCGTTCGTTTATAATATACACACAGCAATCAAACTGTTATTGTTCCAGGACCCAAGAGAACAAATAGTGTAGAAAGAACACCCGAACAAAAATGTTGATGCAGTGAATCAGTCCTTCACCTAGGGGCAAGGGAGAATCCCAGAATTTAGGGTTTTATGACATGCGGCAAAAGTTAACTAAGCTTGGGGACAAAATAACCAAGGCAGGCAGCAGGAGCTACGCCAAAATAGTAGGTGTGCTGGAGACAGAGACCTTAGTTTGAATCTTGCTTCTACAATTTACTGCTGACCTACCTACATTATTAACCTCTCATAGGACCTTTCTAAGAGTGCAATGATAATACACCACGAAGAAAGCCAGCATACCACCTGACACACAGTTGATGCTTAGTAGTTCCCACTTACCCTTCTCATCTCCCTACTCTCTCATTTTCTCTTTACTGGCCCTATTAGTTTCATTACCCTTTTAAGAATACTAAACAAAGATGCAAAAATCTCACCTGGGAGCTGTGCTTGTTTTCCTTAGAGGGTATGTTACTCCTTGGGGCTCACTGTTAAAGCTGATCCATTAGTATAACCACACAGACTATATTGGTCTCTGAGGGATGATGATACTCCACAGAAAAATCGGTTTTAAATTTGTCTACTGAAAAGGAGAATTGAACTTTCCCTGGATGTTGCTGGAATCTACGAGTTAATCCCTAGATCCATACCTACTACAGTACACATTTGAGAAATTTGGCCAAATGAGGGCTGGATCTCAGTTTGACCAAAAGCCAGAATTTTAATGCAAATCTGTTTTCTTTTAGGTGTGCCACTAAGGGGAGGCAGAAGCCTGGTCCACGGCCACACTGTACCATCAAATCCATTTTATCCTAAAATTTTACAATATCACCTAGAACTGCTACTTTACAAGTCTTCTGGATTAGCTACCCAGGTGTCTCAAGTTATCACAGCTGACTAAAGCAAGGGATAACTGTGGTTTGGGGAAGAACACACAGCAGAAGCAGCAAGTGACTCCAGATAACACAGATGGGGCGATCCTCTTCCCTCACCACTTCCACTGTGAACAGGTTCTATCACCTCCAGCCCTATGCATCAGCAATCCACGTGGGCTCAGTGACCTTCACACTCTCCTTCACTCGGCCACCCTAGTGATCGCCCTAAAATATGTGGAGCTGCTACTCCTCTGCTTAAAAGCACTTCTCGCGGGCCTCCCCTGGTGGCGCAGCGGTTGAGTGCTGGGTTGCGAGGCAGCCTCTGCAGCACCAGTTCGATCCCCGGCCGCCGGCGAGGGTCCCACCAAAAAAAAAAAAAAAAAAGGACTTCTCGGGATTGAGGCCAGAATCCTTAGTGGGACTCTCAGGTCATCCAGTCTTCTCTTTAGTTCTAAGTTCCCTAAATTTATCCAGTGCTTGGACCCATAGACTTATACTTTCAAGGGTACTGCCTTCCAGTGACCCATCTTAAAGCTGGTAAAACAGAGCCCAGATAACTAGACCCTCCCTGAAATATCGAAGCCTGGAAACAAAGTTTGAATACCCACTAGGAAAGCTGGGACTGCCATACATCAGGGCTAGGTCTAGTGAGCCTTCCGGGGAAAGCCTGGAACATGGGGTAGACGGTCATGGCTATTCCACATACCCATCAGGTGTAGGATGCTGTCCAGTGCATTGAGTGTGTCCTGGATTGTTACTCCAGCATTCTTGGCTCTGTTATCAACTCTTTGGGCTTCTGTTATTACCTAAGATAAAAAGAAAAATAGAAACCAGTCTTGAGAAGGCATTTCCCATATGGGCATATTTAAAGGGATCTCCCCTGGAAAGTAAGGGCAGCTCACCATCTGTACCGCGTCCATATCCAGGTCAAACTCCTGCTCCTTCCTTGCCAGCTCTCCTTCCACTTCCCTCATGTCGCTCCTCAGAGTAGCCAGTCCCTTCTCCATGGCCAAGGCTCCATCTGCTGTCGCATTGGCTTCCAAGTTCAGACTCCCTATCTCCTGGGAGAAGAAAAGGAGCCAGGGACGGAAGGGGAGAAAGGGGTGAGGCATAAAAACAACCCAAGAACAGCTGCAGAAAAAATACAGCTGCAGCCAGCCCGATGGATGGAGCAAGATGAACCAGAGAGAGTCAGCCTGGGGACACACCCTTTCCCAAGCTCTGCCTCAAACAAGCTGGTTCGGGGCTATGTCTTCAGGGACTAGGAGGGTCAGCAGAGAGATACTATTGCCCTTTCGGGTCAGGACTCTCACCACGTGGTGAGTGCGCTAGAAACCAGTCAGGAAAACTCAGAGAGAAGCAAGTCATGGTGTTCTCTGTCCTGTTTTTTTGCTGTCAGTCTTTTGAATGGTTCTACTAAGATCCCTGAGACAGCTGAGCTGGGGGTGCAGAGAGCCAATGGGCTATGAGCTATGAGTTTTGTTTTCATGAGGACAAAGTTTATTACTTTCTTTATCAATAAGCTGTTAATAAACATCAAATGGCTGTGCCTCTGTGTAAAGACAAGCACCATGAAATTGGTCTCTGCTCTCAAGGGACTTAAAACAAGAAATTGTTTTTGCAAGTTACCAGGCCTCTAAGAGTGAAGCTAATCAATCCAGAGACTGAGAGTTCCCACCGGGCTTTCTAGAGTTGCATACTTCTTTTAAAAGTCATGCTTACATAAGAACGAGGACGTTCTCTTCCAGCTGAGAGGCAACTCCTTCTACTGGAACATTTAACACATGGGTTTGTAATCTAGCTATCTGTCTCGCCCGTTACACTCAATATTCCTTGAAGAAAAGGATTCGGCTTGCTCATCTCCACATCCCCAGCACCAAGCACAGGGCAGGCACAGAGTGGAAGGAGAGAGAACAATGAGGAAGTGGAGCTTAAACATGGAACATACACATGGATGTGGGATCTAGGATGCCACAATTTCATGATCTTGATTCAGAACACTGGTGACAGTTGTTACAGGTTGAACTTTACCCTCCAGAAAGATAGCCTAACCCCCAGTACCTGAGAATGTGAGCTTATTTGGAAATAGGGTTGTCACAGGTGTAATTAGTTAAGATGAGGTCACACTGGAGTGGGGTGGGCCCCTCATCCAATATGACTTTTGTCCTTATAAGAAGATTGGGAGACACCAGAGAGAAGACCCCTATGCTGTGATAGAGGCAGAGGCGGGTGCTATGTTCTGCAAATCAAAGAGCACCAAGGAGCACCAAGGGTTGACAGCCACTGCCAGAAGCCAGAAAAAGGAAAAGAAGGGTTCTCCCCAGAGCCTCAGGGGGACCACAGTTCTGCTGACATTTTAATTTCAGACTTCCAACCTCCAGACTGTGAGATAATGAATTTCTGTATTAAACCACTCAGTCCATGGTACACTGTGATAGCAACTATAGGAAACTGATATAATAGTCTAGATTAAAAACAGTCTTAGATAGTTCTGTGGTGTTGTCCAAAAAGGGAACTGAAAATGGTGGGCCAGGTGTGTTCTGACACTCAAAGACAACTCTTGAATTATTCACCAAAAAGAGTGCCCAAGTGGATCTGGGGCTACACAGATCAAAACAGGGCTCTGAGTTGTAGGGGATGAAATGGACTCCAGGTTGTCTCCTTCTGCACCACCCTTATGTGTGGAGCTGCTCTTGCCAATTCACATCGAGGATTCTCTTTACCTGTTCTATCTTGCCTGTGATCTCCAGGGCCTCCTTAGCTGCGTTCTTTGCCTTCCGGGCATCAGCAGTAGCACTGCCCAGGGCAGTTTCCGCTTGCTTGGTCTTGTCACTGGCATCTGCAACTCTCTGGCTGATGTAGGAGAGTCTCTTCATGGCCTCTTCAGCTTCTGCTTTTCTGTCTTCAACCTGCAGGTCAAATTCTGAAGTGAAGATAAAAAAAAAAAATCCATGGCTATGAAGATGAAAAATAACTTACAAATGAAGATGAAAGAGCCTGAAGTTTTTAACAAAAATTCCAGCAGGAGGCATTCATTGAAAGGGCCATAATTAGCCCTTTGCTTAGAGAAACTGACAAGCAGCCTGCCCTGGGGCCACCACTGTATGAGTGAGTGTTAAGACCTCAAAATGGATCACAAGCAGGTGGAATCTTAGAAGTTCAAAGTTTCAAGTCAGAGCCTTAAACTCTAAGCTGACAATGACAGTCACTGGGGGTTGGATAGAATGGGTAGAAGGCAATTCCAAGACTTAAAGGAATATTTCTTTTTTGTTCTTAGCCTAAAACTTTAACCAAATCTCTGCTAGTCCCAAGCCCAAATTTCCTGGACACTACATGCTGTGACAAAGCTTGCTCCATCGTCACCACAAAGGAAGCACGTTGATTCTATTGGAACCAAGCAGGCTACAAAACAAAAGGAAAAATGTCTATGGTTGAAAACTGCTGAGCTGTGAGAACCTTAGAAATCCCTTCATTTGACATTCTCCCTTTAAAGGGAGGAAACTAGGGGCTAGAAGGTTTATGTGACTTGCCTGTGGTCACAAAGCCAGATCAGACTGGTCATGTGCCTCAGCAGAGATTTGAACTTGAGTTTTCAGACATCTAGTTTAATTCTTTTCACTACAGCAAATATTACTGAACTTTTTTTCCTTTGGCAAGATTTTTACCAAACATGTATTAATGGGTTGAACCTAATATACCTACCACTTAGAAAGATGTATGAGGATTCAATATAAATAAAAGTCATGCTTATACCTTGAAAACACGCAAGTGACTGAACCATGAAATACACACCTCTGAGATTCTTTAAGATGTTTTCAACTTCATAAAAAGTGGCATTGCCCATACTTAGTGCTTCTTGGGCTCTGCTTTTAGCAAGGTTGGCACGAGAAAGCAACTGATCTGATTTCTGTAAATAGGCAGGCAGAAAAAGATCAGAGTAAATGTAACACACACAAAGGAAGAGTATTCCTGCCAGGAAAATCACTTCAACACATTTCTCTACATGACAACATTGTTGCGATTCATGGAATAATCTAGGTATGCTGTAAAAACCCCTCCATAATCAGAGACAGAGCAAACTTTGTAACTCAAGGACACATCCCATATAGAGAAACCTCAAACTCTAGTCCATTACCAGTGACAAGAACAGTTTTGAAAATCATGTTAAACTCTAGATCTTTCTAAAGATAAGTTAATGGACAGAGTTAGACCAAAATTGGACCTGGAAAGTCTGAGTCTTCTTTCAAGACTTGTGGACTGAGTCATGGGTGGAACTGAGCTAAGTGCATCAAAGTCTGTGTATCTCAGCAACTTCCTCTATAAGCAGCGGTATCATGACCTTTAGAGTTCCTCTTCCTATATTTATTCACATGGTAGGCACTCAGTACATATTTGTTAAGATTAGCAAATGGGTACCTGTTTCTCATTCTTTCCATTCTGTAAGAGCTGCTGGATTTCTTCTCCCCAGTTCCCCAGATTGCTTTGCACACGTTTGAACTCATCCATATGCCTAGCTGCCAGACTTGAGAGAGAATCAGCTTTTTGTCTGATCCTCTTCATGTCTACCTATAAGGTGAAGAAATGAATGAGTCTGGCCTTTTGCTCACCAGTTACCAGACCAGTCTTCTTAGCGCTTGGCATCATTGTTTGAAAACAAAAACCCAGCCTTGATGTCTAATAGAATGAGCCACTGTGCCCTCTGAAAGTCAGGAAGCAGTTCCCCCAAGGATCTAGCAGGTTTTGTGTCTGCTCTGTTTTTCTTCACATGTTATTTTATACATAGCTGCCAATAATTTTTGTGGAAATCATTGTGAGTGTTTTTTGCTGTAGGTAGAAAGCTGACTTTCTAATAAATTTGTAATAGTTAAAGGATGGCAGGAGCAATGCAAAACGTTTGAGAATGAAGTGTTTTTAAGAGATGTATTAGGTTGAACTCAAACAGAAATATCAAACTTTATCTATAGTAATTTCCTACAGGTTTCAACAGTCCCCAGAACTAAGGAAGAGATATAAAACTCTTATCCACTAATAGGTTTGGGATGTGAGCCAAGGCCTTTTCAAGGGCCAAGACTGAGATTTAAGTACAAGGAAATGGGTCAAGAGTAGGATAAATATTCTTCCTAATGAAAAGAAAGGTCAACCTGGAGACAACATGGTATGAAAGTATTTATGACCCTTCTCTGAATATTCAAGCACATAAGCTCGATGTCCTCACCTGGAAAGACTGGTCACTCACTCCCTGCAGCTGAGACACAGCGTTGAGAAGGTGGAGACTCTGCTGATAAGACCGATCTGCTTCATTGTCAGCTTGAGTGGCCTCCCTGGACAACTGCTGGGCCAGGGACTTGGTTTTCTCCAATCTGCAGAGGAGCCAGGGGAAGGGAGAGGGTAGGGCTTTTTGGATTCATTCCTTTTATAAAAGCAGATAGCCATCCCTTTGTTTTAATAGTAAATAGCTGGAATCATCGGAAGAAACAAAGGTTCGTATCAGATACGACCCTCTCCACAATCTAAACATAAATCTTAAAGTTTATACAGTTCAGGTCAGAAAAATTCAACCCAAGTTTCCCAATTCTCGATAATATAAATACATTATTTTTATAGCCTCCATTCCATCACATGCGATTACTCTAGTCCTTCAAGCACCACAGGGGGTGACTGTATTTCCAAGGACTGCAACCTCTCAGTCAAAACACAAACTTTACATAGATGAATCAACCTATTAGCCTCCCTTCTCTTCTTCCAGCTTTGACGGACGATACCTACTTTCACAGAAAGTAAAACACTCAAATCTCTTGTCCCTCTGAGTATGGATACATTTCTTAAAAAACATGGCGCCAGGCAAACTCAGTTCGCGTTTTACACGGGGCGGGTGGGGAGGCGGTGGTGGTGGTGGTGGTGGGGGGGGGGGGTTTGCAGAGTATTTTGGTCCAGGTGAGGACCCGTTGGAACGTACTTTCCCACAAGTCCTTGCACTACGGAGCCCTCCAGGCCGCCGCTTCCGCCTCCCTCGCTCAGAGCCTTGCGTGCCAGTGCCAGGGCCTGTTTGGAATAGTCCTCCGTTTCCCTTGCCAGCTGCTCCACGTTACTGGCCGACTGAACATGGCTGAAAGGATTAAAAACAAAGAATTTGAGTTTTCATAGCAAAGGACTTCCTTTTTTTAAATGATGGGAGAAGAGTAAAGGAACTGGCTTAGTTTGCAAAGCTAAACAGAAGTCACCCAGATTAGATGGAATCAGAGGAACTATCAAGAGCAGGTGTTTTGGAGAAGGAGCTCAGGTCACAGAATTACTGGTCATTTGGGAACTATGGGGGGGGGGGAACAGGATTCCAGGGTTGGGGGTGCAAATGGGTGGGAGCAATCTCTAGGTGATTAACTATATCTGTAAGCTCTTTTCTCAGGAAGACCCCTTTAGGTTTTATTTCATCCAGGGTCCCCAACTCATTTTTGCTGCAACTTTAAACTGGGCCCACCATTAATCAAAGCTTGTCAATACAAAGCCCCTAGATGCTTTTGGCTTCCTAGTTCTAGAAAGTGACAGAAAGCTCAAGAAGCTCATACTACAAAAATACAAGCCAGCCCCCTTCTGCTGACTGAATTCCACTTGGGATTAACAGAGCCTGGCGTCCTGCTGAGCATGCTGCTTCCAGCAAACCTCTACAACATGGACTTATAGTTGGGCAAGGACGAGGGAGCTGCCTCCTTACTGGGGCCAGCAGAGCTGGTTTTCAGGAGGGAGTCTCCCCATCTGCAGACTTGGCCCCGCAGGTTAGCAAAAACTTGTTGCTACTTGTTCCCAGGCTTGATGTGGGAGCCTGGGAGTCCCTCAAAGCTGCAGAGCCTTGTTTTCCAAGGACTGATTCATTTCATGGGGCTGGAGGAATCCTATCTGACATACACTAAAGCCTTAATATGAGTCATAGAGAAATCTGGGAAAGCACCCCCCCAAACCCCCAACGCCTACCAAATGATGTGCCTAGTAGCCACCTACATACACTAATAGCCAGTGTTGTAGTGATTAAAAAATGGCTCCAAGGCAAGGTGGCTCCAACTGCAAAGGTGCCTGGAGGTAATGACAAGGGTGCATGGGACCAGAATACCCTGCCGTCTGGCTCATGTCCAGCCTTGCAGAGTGAAGCAGAGGTGCCCTCTAATGCTGCTCACCTGTCTGCCAATCTTGTGGCTTCCTGAGCCAGACTTTTAAAGCCATTTGGCCCCACATAGTGCTCTGAAGGAGGAATGTTCTGCGGAAAAAGGAGAATTGGTTAAGACTTTGCACTGACACGTGTCCTGTCAGAACCCCTTATAATCAGCCACACAACGTTCCACACCCGGAGACTGATGTCCCTAGTCACGGAGGTCATGCCATAATAAAAAAAAAATGAATAGACCAAGAGAAAGTAGCAGTCCAAGTTCAAAAAAATTGCATATATAGATATAGATGCATTAAAAAAATACATGTCCATATTTTTATATATATTTAAAGTCCCGTAGAATGCATACCAAGTTTTAATGGTAGATATTCTTTAATCATGGGATCATAGGGAATTTATATTTCTTTTCTAAGTTTTCTGCAATAATTATTTTTTATAATAAGGAAAAAAACAAATATACACTTTTTAAATCCTTCATTTCCTCAGCATAATGTCTTACCATCTTCTAATTTCCTTTATTCATCGCCCACCCACCATTATCTTTTTTATTCAGAAATAGCAGAGTGCTCATTAGCTCCTCCTACGACATGACAAGCTGCATCATTAAAATAAATGATATTAGCAACAATTTTCCCCCTATTTTTAGGACCATGTCTTCATTGGATGCCTTCTTTCCTTCTTCCCTCCCTCCTTACTTTCCTCCCCTTTACATTTGTTCATTCATTTGTTTGTTTATGTACCTGTTCACTTACCCATGCAGCTAGCACACTGCGCTGTAGGTTGAGAATACAAATAAGAATAGCCCTAAATCCTGCCCTCGGGGAGCTAACAAACTAAGAGAAGAGACAGGCCCAACATGAGGATATCGTTAGAAAAAATTGAACCACGGAGAATTTCCCTGATTCATTTCCATAAAATGGAAATTACAGGACGCCAAAGAACAGAAGCAATGGGCATGACCACTGCAAGGAAGGGCTGTCCACTCTATGCCAGATAGACTAGAAAGCCTGAGAGATGGAAAGTGAGCAGGTGATATTTACAGCTAGGTCTCCCCACATAGCAGAGAGTCTCAGTACCCTGACCTGACAACACCTACAGTGTTTTGCAGGGAAGCTTTGTTTTCTTCGAGGCTCAGGTGCATCTGAGTGATGAGCCTGCGAGTGTCCTGAACTTGGTTCTGGTATTGATTGCCCAGGGCCCGAACTCTTTCCGCAGCCATCTTGAGGTCATCCAGGCGGCTCCGGTAGCTATTCTCTTGGGTCCTTACTTTGGCCAACTGGAGATTGAGAGCTCTGACAGCGCCTTTACAGCAACAAGGAAAGGGAGCATGAGCACTTCTGAGGCCAGCATAATCAAACACAGTGGAGGGTTGGAAAGATGTCTTTGGTTTATGGCCAATGATAAACACCCCGTATACGCATGCATGCGGGCATGCTTATCTCCATCATTCATGTCCCAGGGGAATGTCACAGATGGTCTTTCCACCTCTGCAAGGCCTCGGCAGAGAAATCTGCTGAAGTGACACCTACAGAAGAGTTTGTGACCTCATGTGACAGCGCTTTCTAGGACTCTGAACTCTCTTCTCTCTGATGGAAATTGGCCTTCATCACCTTCTGAAATCTGAGCTTCTAGAAGAATGTCCCGGAGGGCCTGCTCAGCCTGCTGCATCCTGCCTTCCAGCTCAGTGTTGGGCACTGATCCACCATCTCCCTGAGCGTTCGAAACCAGGGTCTCTAGGCTCTGAAGCTGCTGCTTAAATTGATCCATCTGAAATCACACAGGAAAGAGGATCAGGACAGAATGGAGGTGACCACCATCAAATACCAGGTACCCAGGGGAAAACAGCTAACAGTCCAGAGCGGCTCAGTATGTCACAGTAGTGAAAAATTTAGACTCTAGAGCCTGGAGAATTTGAGTTTGAATCCTGGCCCCACTACTCACCTACTGTGTGATCTTGGGAGAGTCACTTGCTTTATCTATACAATGGGGATAATCATAATATCTCATAGTTATTACATGGACTAAAGGAATTAATATTTGTATAATGCTTACAACAGAACCTGGAACAAAGAAAGTGCTATAGAGCTTAAATAGGTAAGTTGAAAAACAGGGTGACAGATAATTTCACTCATATGTGGAATATAAAGAAACAATACAAAGTAAGAGACAACCCCTAGAAATCTGACTGTAGAACTGAGGATACTAGAGGGGGATTGTGAGAGCAGGGGAGTCACATGGGGTAGGGGCCCAATGGACTATGGGGGAGCACTCGGGGTGCCTTGATAGTGGGTGTGGAGTGCTGACATATATCTCAGGAGGTGTGAATCTGTACCTCTGAATCATATACAGAGTTGTAAACCAGTGTAATCTTAATTTAAAAAAATACAATTTAAAAAACACAAAAATATTCTACATTTGGGGTTCTGTCCAGGCCTTTTTCTCCACTACTCCTCACCCCAGCAAAATAATAATTAATAATTAACAGCAACATCCCTTTCATTCCTCTCTGGAATATGAACTAGACATTTCTGGAGTCCTTCCCAGTTTAGACTGTCTTAATGCTTTCTGGACTCCTGTCTTTTATATGTTTATATTTCCCTTCATTTGTTTTATAAGAACATCTCTTAGGGGAAAATTCAGCTAGAAAGTGATATAGTATGGTGGAAAAAGTGCTGAGCCCAAAGTCAGGGGAGGTGGGTGGGATTCTCAGTTCACCTGGCCATGTGAATGAAAAATTGCAAATTTCTCAAAATTTTGCTCAGTAAAAACTGAGGTCAGAATGCTTTCTCTCCAACCTAAGTTATCATGCTTACCAAACAAGACAGTAATTGCAAAAGAGGTGTTGAAAATAGTATTTATAAGAGCAGAAACCTGAAGTATTAATCGATTTTTGTTTAATACAGAAAATTTTAAAGAAAGAAATAGTAATCCCCATCCCCATCTCCAAGAGACCAGAAGGGTCCCAGATCTGTGACAGAACCACCCAGTAGACACTTAGAGATTGTCCTGGTGGGGGTGAGGTGGGTAGGGGATCACGAACACATACCTGGGTCTTCACTTGGTCATAGCAAGCTGGACAGTTGGTTAACCCTGCATGCTCACAGTGGAGGCCGCCATATCCTGGCTTGCAAACACAGCTGCCATCACTTCGACACTCCACAGAGTCCGAGCCCACTGGGTTGCAGTTGCAAGCTAGAGACAAAGGACAGACCGCAGAAAGCATTCATATCAAGCTAATTCCAGAAACTGGAGGAATAGTAGAGCTAAAAGGAAGAGCCCATCACCATTAGCAAAGATTCATATTGTGTTAGATTCATCTATTGGCTATGCCTACACACACGTTCCTAATACAAACAGGCCTGAGAAATCATCTGGAAGTTTGTTTGGGATGTGTGGATAAAGAGATATTACAACTGTCCATCCTTTCTGGTGGTGCTTATTTTCTTCCTCCTGTTAAAACTTAAACCTGTTGAACATTCTGCAGGCACTCAGGCTTTGCTCGCAAGAGGAACAACATTTCTTCTGGTCTTAATATGTGTTGATGTAGACATCTCCCTTAATCTTACAAATGAGGACTATGAGCTCAGAGAAGGTGAGTAACGTATTCAAAGTCACACAGCAGGGAAATGCAAAATGGAATGAGGACTTGTGAAGAGTCAATGCTTTTTCCTTCTGCACTACTGCCTTTGATGTCAGAAATGCAGAAAGAAGGCTGTACCATTTTTCGTTCAGTCCGTTGATGGAGCACCGACTATATGCCATGCTCTGTCCTAAAAGCTGAGGATGTAACTATCAGTGGGTAAGACACTGCTCTAATCACTTGTGTTAGAGTGATTCTTTGAGTTGCTCTATCTTTGGTGCAACCCATTACTATCACACAATAATGTGATCGCATATCTAAGTGCATTGGTATTGTTTGTTTATATATATGTGTGTTTTACTTATTAGCATATGAGCTCTGGTGGAGCTGAGACTGACTTATAACCTCAGCGTCTTGATCCACATCTGGTCCATGCTTAGGTGCTTAACAGCAGATAGTTGAATGAAAAAATATATGGTCAAAAGTCAGTGAAATCGGGCCTCCCTGGTAGTGCACAGTGCTGTGAAGCTGTCCGCAGCCTCTGCAGTGCCAGTTCAATCCCTGCTGGCCTCGGAGCAACCCACATGGCAAGCAGAACTCTCCTGTTGCGCCCGCTGCTCCCCTCAGCAGTGTATTTTGTCAGTTTGCCTGTTTCTGTTCCCTGCTCTGTCTCTGGTGAATCCTCTTACCCTCTTGTGCATCTGGCCTGTACCCCAGTTCTTGTATAAATAAAAATAAATCTTTAAAAAAAAGTCAGTGAAGTCTCTATTAACAGCACCTGATAGCTAGAATTATATATTTTACAGTGTATACTTTTGTACCACCTTGAGTTAAATATTGTTCATCTCTATGATGCAACTGAGCTCAGATTAATTGGCATAATCAATGTAAGACAATAGGAAGGTATGTTAAAAAGCTGGACTTGGACTCAGGACTACTGACAGTATGTGGGTGCTCCCTAGCATTGGGTATCTTGCACATCACAGCTAACCCACAATTGGGGTCCAGGCAGGTGGGATTTGGGCCCCAGGGCAGAAGCCCTGGTTTCTCAGGGAGCCTCAGCTATCTCTGGTGGTAGAGACTCTGGTGAGGCCCGGGAGGCGCCAGGCTCTGTACAGACCTCCTGGGATATCACAGGTCTTCTAATCTCTATCCTCAGAGACACTCCAGGTCTCAGAATAAACAAACTCCTGAGTTCTGCACTCCAGGACTGGCCAGAGGCCTTAGGGCTAAGAGGTGAGTCTAGGGGCAGACTAGTGCCCAGAACTGAAGCTGCTTCTAGAATGTAACATTGGCAGAGGTTTGAAAGATGGCCTGGCAAAGAGACCCAACTGCACATTCATGCTTTGGGTTGAAGCAGTCCTTAGGAATAGCTGCTTCTTTGAAGCTTCTTGTCCTGGGGACAAGTTTTGATTGTGACCTTTCTATACATCAATTACACTGACTTCCTGAAAGGGGCTCTACACTGCTTCACAGCCCCACCCTCCCACTTCAGTTTGTCCTGACTTGGTCTCCAGGGACTTAACGCTCCCCAGAAGTGAGCTCTGGAGCCACTTCCTGCCTGTAGCTCAGGGCATAGGATGTGGCCCCACTTCATTGCCTCCTCCACTTCAGTATGTAAACCCGGCCTGTTCACTCCTCCCACCAGTTTTAACACTTTTGACCTCATCCAGAGCTGTCTCCCAGAGCCTGGCTATGGCAGCAACTCACCTCTGACAGGTGAAAGGTCCAGGCTGTTCAGGGACCAATTGGTCAGAGAAGCCAAAGTAGCATCGGACTATTAACTGTTGTCAGCTTTGTTGATTTGTTTACTCTCACCTGTGTGTACACTAGAACATTTGTGCACGTGCACACACACACACACACACAGGTCTACAACCTGTCAAGGGCACAGTCCTACCTCGACACTTGTCCGCTGGGTTAGGAGCCAAGGGATCCCCAAAGTAGCCTGCTTTGCACTGCTCACAGTGGACGCCTGCTGTGTTGTGGATGCACTTCAGACACCTGCCAGTCAGGCGGTCACAGTTCCCGGAGACACTGGGGTCCACGTTGTTGTTGCATTGACAAGGCTGACAAGACCTCACTGGGCCCCGCTCCCCAAAGGGGTCCCCAAAATAGCCATCAGCACAGAGCTCGCAGCGGGCACCTGTGAAAAACAACCAGACCCCAGTGACCGTCCATTGGCAGCAAGACCAGCTGCAGAGGCCCCACCCCCAAAAAGTGGCCTGCAGAGCAGGAGCCCAGCGGAAGGGGCTGGCGCTCTGGCTCCTCAGTGGTCAGTTTTATGAGGTGACAGTGCCACGAAGGAGCCTCCTACAGCTTGACAGCTGGCTGGGGAAGTCCACAGAGGTGGCAAGACTTTCCACCAAGGTTGCTGTTGGAGAGTCACCTCTTCCGTCACACCGACCAGAAGACAGAGATGCCATTTCTAAGGTAACTATGGTTTTCTACTTTATTGTGGCTCCTTCTTGAAATTTAGTTAAACCATGTTTTCGCCTGAAAACTCTGTTCTCTAATTCCCACCCTCCTAAAAATAGCATTCGATGTCTCATTCCATAACTGTACTCTCTGCCCTTCTTCAACCACTTATTCTCTTGGGCATCAGGAGGTAATTATTATCTTTAGAGTTATCTTTATAATTCCTGAGAGATTCCCTGGAACAGAGGCTCTGGCCTGAGATACAAGGCCTCAGGACAGGGCGAGCAGGCCAAGACCTTACCAGTAACCCCAGGGGGACAGTTGTTGCACACCACCTCCTCCGTCTCAGGCATCACGGAGCAGCTAAATCCATTGCGACAGGGGCACGGCTTGCAGCTGCGGGGGTCGTGGGGGTCGTTGTAGAAGCCGATGGGGCAGTCGGCACACTCTATGTCAGGATTCTCATCCCCCGAATAGCAGTCTCCTGGGAGGCCGAGGAAGCATGGAAGGGCAGAGAAACGGGCAGGGTAAAACAACACACTCCCTTTAACATGGATGGTGAGTGCTTGGTAACACGAAGCCTTCCTTTCCGAGGCCTCCTCTAAGATGCCTGAGCACTAGCATTCACCTTGGCCTGGGCCCACCCCTACACAGGCCAGGACCCTGACACCCTCACTCTCCCCACAAGTCAACACCGCACTGCCTTTAGGATCCATAACCTGACACTGCTTCCCCCCCACCCTCCCCCGAGGCCTGACACCATTTGTCAGCACATTCATTCAGGTCCTGAAGTTGCCTTTGATCTCCCCATTCAATTCTTGCAACAAGACACCAGTTCCCCCACTCAGCACTGAACCAAGACAGCCATTTCCTGTAACCCAGCACCTTTCTCACAACCTGTGGCATTTCCACAATGAAAGGGCTTGAGTGTCATCAAGCATCAGGTCCCCCCCCCCACCACTCCAGCCCATGTCCCTTAATCCTTTCCCATCTCCAAAATGAGTTCAGGCACAGTCTTTTTTACACAACTTGAGCTCTTCCATGGGAGACCCCAGGCACCTGGCTGTAACCCACTCCCCCTTCACCGGGTCCAGGTGTCATTTCACTTACCTGTGTCTGGATCGCAGGCCCCTCCCCCTTGGCAGTTACATGGAACACAGGTGCCAAAAGGTCCCAGCCTGGCTGAATCTCTTTTGTAGCCAGAAGCACAATCCTGGCAGAACTGCCCCTTGTACTCAACGGGACACACACATTGTTCAACCCAGGGTGCCGGGGCTCCGGAGACAGGGCGGGCTGAAATCAGAGTCACGTTGTCAAGGTACCCAGTACCTGCAACAGAAAGAACAGGTTAGAAATAGTGGTTAGAAGGTCTAAAGCTCTAAAGTTAGGCCTCTCTTTGGATTGTATTTCTGTCTTTGTCAAAGGTAGGTGGTGCTTAACCTGCTATGCCAAGTCCAGGGGAGCGCCCTCCCATGTGCCTGAGCCCACAGCTCTGGGGGCAAATACTTGCTCCATCTCCCAAACCCAGTGGGGTGGGTCATACCACCCTCCATGATTGCATTTCCTCAGCAATAGATGCCATAGTGGTATCTACCTCCTATACTTGTGAAAACCACAGGGACAATGCATACATGATAACGTGCTGGCACATAGCAAAGGTTCAAGACATTATTAGTCCTGAACCTAGTTCCTAGTTCCTGCTTTTTTTTTGCTGCATCAGTACCATGGAAACGTGGCACACCAGCCGTGTGTCCTCCTTACATGGATGCTTACAAACTTAATGCACTCTCATGGAGATAATTTGTGGTAAATAATAGGAGTACCCACATGTCAATAAGAGGAGCTTGGGCCTCCCTGTTGGCACAGCACTGTGAAGCTGTCCCCAGCCTCTGCAGCGCAGGTTTGTTTCCCAGCCAACAAGGGAGTTACCCACATGGCGCAGCAGACCTCTCCTGTCTCGCCTGCTGCTCCCCTCAGTAGTGTATTTCAGTAGATCTGCCTGTTCTGCTCCCCACTCTGTCTCTGGTGAATCCTCTCACCCTCCTGCACCTCTGGCCTGTACCCCAGGTATTGTATAAATAAAAAACTAAAGAAAAAAGATTTTATAATAAAAAAAAGTAAGAGGAGCTTACAGAATTTATAGAATAAAAGGAATGTGCAGAATTCTCAGTGATGTCTGAATGTGGTAGCACCAAGCATAATTCAAGAAGCAAAGCTACTGGGGACAAACAGACTTTTATAGATGCCACTTCCGGTTATGCTCATCTCTGTCAATTAATCAGCTCCAATTTAAATGAGAAGATTCTATTAACAAGATAGTATCATTCACTTTTCTTTGGTGCTAACCTCTTTTTAGAGTAACATTCCTTTTATTATTATTATTATAAATTCTCCTTCCTAATCTTTGTTTTGTTTTTAAATTTCTTTTAAAGATTTATTTATTTTTATACAAGAACTGGGATACAGGCCAGAGGCACAGGAGAGTGAGAGGATTCACCAGAGACAGAGTAGGGAGCAGAAAGTGCAGACAGACCAAAATACACTGCAGAAGGGAGCAGCAGGCTAGACGAGAGGTCTGCCACACCATGTGGGAATCTCCCTGGCCAGCTGGGAATCGAACCTGTGCTGCAGAGGCTGCGGACAGCTTCACAGTGCTGCACTCAACCCGCTGCGCCACCGGGGAGGCCTGTTTTTTAATTTTTATTGAGGTGCCATTGGTTTACATTGCTGTTTGTATTTTGGAAGTATGGGATCCCCCTCTTCAGGTGTTGTGACCACAGTGCCCCCACCACCGCAGTCCATTGTGTCCCTCCCCACTTTGTTCTCGTCCTTCCCCCTCCCCTCTGGATTCCTCAGTTCTACAGTCAGCTTTTTTTTTTTTTTTAGATTTATTTTTTTATTTATACAAGAACCGGGGTACAGGCCAGATGCGCGGAAGGGTGAGAGGATTCACCAGAGACAGAGCGGGGAGCAGAAAAGGCAGAGTGACGAAATGCACTGCTGAGGGGAGTAGCGAGCAAGACAGGAGAGGTCTGCTGTGCCATGTGAGACCCTCACTGCCGGCCAGGATTGAACCAGTGCTGCAGAGGCTACGGATAGCTTCACAGCGCAGCACTCAACTGCCTACACCACCAGGGGAGGCCCTACAATCAGCTTTCAAGGGTTAGTTTTTACGTATGGCTTTATCTGACCCTTTGTTTGGTTTGTCTATATTCCACATATAAGGATACCATCAGGTATTTGTCTTTCTCTTTGTGAGTCATTTTGGTTAGCATAATCCCTTCCAGCTCCATCCATGTTGCTACAAATGGTATGAATTTATCCTTTTTGATCACTGAGTAGTATTCCCTTGTGTATATAGACCACATCTTACTTATCCACTCATCTCTTCTAGGCATTGAGGTGAAACATTCCTTTTTAACAACTTCTAGAATGCAATAATGTAGAGTCAATAAGATACTCTACATCAAAACCATGAAGAAATTGATTTACTTGTTTGGAGACTGTCACCACCTAAGAGAGATGAAACAAATGAAAGTAAACCCTGAGGAGAGATTCACTCCTCTCCATCACTCACTGTATTCTCCATAGGTAGCTCGGATCCTCAGGGCCGTGAGGTTCCGCAGTAACCTCCGAAACTCAAAATAACTCAGCTGGGGGCTCCAGTTACTGCTTGGGTGTTCATTTAATCTGCATGATTAAAAAGCAACAGTTTTAAAAATCTGAAGCTTATCAAATCTTAGCATTGGTATACCTGACACAAACTATGACCAAGGACTGCCGGTTGGCAATCCTACTGAGAGAGAGAGAGAGAGATGAAGGCCCAGCAGCCACCTCCTTCTAGACACAAACTCGGGGTTACCAGGGATCGCTTTCCATGGAAAAGCTAATGTTACAAACATCTCTAAGTTTAAGAGGCTCTGATCCTCAAGTGCTTCCCTTCATGTTGGGTTGTGTTGTTTAAATAATTTGCTCTCTGAGTACATTTTACTCTTTCCAAAGATCAGCATCTATCATCTACATTGCGTACATCTAATTCTTCATTTGTCATCTCTGCCTCTCGTCACCAGCCTGTGCTATTTTTTGATGTGCTTGTTTTTCACTGGAATCTTCCCAGGAGCAACCTCACCGCTTTGGTTTCATTCACTGATTTGTTACCAGCAGCTTACTATGCCCTTGGTTGGGGCCAGGCACGATCTGGCTGGAGGATACAGCGACAACGAAGGTGATCGGCCTGCAGCAGGGAGGAGGGTCCGGTTGCATAATCAGGACTCAGTGCCTGAAGCACGATGACAAATGTGCAAGCTGCCACAGCAGCACCCTGAGGACTCTTCCCTAATGCAAAGGAAGACCCTGTAAACTCAATCTCAGAAGTTCATTCACCAACCTGAGAAGGCGGGAACACACATGCTGGCTAGGAGAGCAGTGTGTGTGTCCTGAGAATGAGTTGCCCGCGGGGCTCTCAGTACACACTGTGTGTGTGCTGTGTGTCTCCCTATCTCCATTCCTACCACCTCAGTGCTTGGCGAGGCCCCCAACTACCCTCACTTCAACTGCTGGGAATGTGTTCTGATGGTCCAACCAAGGACGGGAACTATCCCGCACGTGGTATTCACACCCAGCCTTCACAGCTGAGCATACCACTTCACTTCCACCTCCCGAGGGCTTGCCATCACCCTGCAGGCACAGACAAGCTCTCAGCCCCTGGACATGACAGACAGGTCCACCAAGAGATCCCTTTCCAGTCCTTTCTCCCTTATTGGCCTATCTCCCCAATTAACTGCTATGTTCCAGCCATAATACTGCTTGCCAGTTCCCCTGCGATGTTATCCCTCCTTTCCCTATCAGCACGTATCTTCGTGCGTGCAGGCTGTCCTCTGGTTTTCTTCCTGGGACAGGCCTATGCTGCTTTCTGTCCTCAGCCCGTGTGCTGCCTCCTCCATGAAGCATCCCTGACTCCTCTGGCAGAATCAGGCTCTCCTTCCTCTCCTCCCAAGCCCCCATGAACCTGTGCCACTGCTGAAGCAATTATTGTTCTGAACTGTGCTTTGTGTTTGACGTGTTTTTTTATACCATGTTACCTTCCCAGCCTCAAATGCAGTACGAAGTGCTTAGGAGGCCCAGTTCCTTCCCCTGAACACTCTTGTAGTTACCCTGCCGAATCCCCATTGTACAGGATAACTGTAACCGCCTTAGACAACGCAGGGTCACCCATGGCCTTGCCCGCCACTCTCTCTGACACCACTTTTCACTGGAATCGCTTCCCAGGAGCAACCTCACCTACTCCATGCTCCACGCAAACTTACCTACTTAGAATTTCCTAAATGCACAACACATCCTCGAGCATGGTCGTGCCTCTGTATTTTTAATCTCTCTCCCCTTTTCCTTCCTTAGCGAGCTGCTCTTCACTTATCCTGGGACATTTCCTCAATCACTCCAACATGGGTTATGTGCCTCTGTGTGTGTGCAGTGTGAGTCTTCCATGAGTGGCACTGTAGTCGCCTATTTATTTTCTCTCCTATTAGCCTGTCAGGGTCTTGGGAGTAGGAGTCATGTCCTGTCTCAGCACACACCCCCATGACTGGTATGTAAGACATGCTCAGGATAGTTTGTTGAATGAATGAATGATAACTGAGTGAATGAGTAAAGAACTGGACTTCAGTAATAGTTTGCTTTATTTGACCCATTTGCAGTCAGTCTCTCTTTTTTACCTGAACGTGTAAGTCTTGCTGACCCCACAAGGTAGCGTCTTGCCCAGCGGCATCAAGGGAGCTGCGATCCGCAGACCAGCACCTTCCAAGATCACGTCGTGGGAAGATGGGTGTCTGCCTCCCCTGTCCACACGGTAGTCAAATGACAGGCTTTGCCCGTAGCTCACCTGTTGATTCCCAAGAAACTTGGCTGTGAAATAGAATTGGACAAGGATCAGTTGTAAATCTGCAGTAGCAAACAAGTGAGCAAATTTGAATTTATGTTGGCAATTTCTGTTTCTCTATTGCCCGGTCACCACCCTGCCCTAAGCCAGCCATCCGGGAGAGCCCTTCGTCCAAGAGTCATGGCTGTGGACATGACTGTGTTGCTCTTGACTATGAAAGGGGTCAGTTTCTGAGATGCTGGAATGGCCTCATTATAAGACAGTTCCATCTATTAGGCGATTCACAGTATGGCCCTTATCATAAATGGCCTTAGGTAGCCATCCCAGGTATACTGGGAAATAGTGCTTTGGGTTACATACACTTTATAGCATTTACAAAGTTCTTCCACAATCATCATCACATTGAATGGCAATCAGTCTTGGAGGTAAGCATTATTATTCCCAGGTAAGCTGAAGTTCAGAAAGGTTAGATTAACGTGCATAGAAGTCACAAATTAACTAAGGATGTGAACTAGGACTAGAATCCTAGACAGAGCTTTTCCTTCCAGTCTTTCTATACCACGGACATATATCCATATACACTTGACATGCTATATAGCCTATTAAACCATATATATGTGTATATATATCCTACCATACAGCATACATATGTCATATATACATACAAAATTTTTCATAATTAGATATACTTTCAAAATACAAGCATGTATATACATACATATAACTTACAAGTGTTCAAAGCTTTAAGAAATACCTTTCTTTCACTTTTCCATCTGCCTCTTAGTAGACATACAGATCTGACCACAATCTTTTGGCAGGGCAACTTCTTGTCTGATTAAAATAGGAACTTCCAGCCGAGGTCTGGCCTCTCAGATGCCCAGTTCTACTCTGTTGTCCATGTTTTGGTTACTTGATCAGTCGCAACTTAACCCTACTGCCTTCTGGGGATACTACTGCCCTGAACACTAAGGATATGGTTTCCACATGTTCCCACTCCATCTTCCATCCTAACTTCTTAGTCTGAAAACTTGGTTTCTATGGCAACAATACCACACATACCAGGAGCCACAAAGTAGACAGGGTCTGATCGCCGTGCTGAGCTAAACACGTCACGATGACGGTGTGACCACTGGAGCTTTGCAGGGGACCCATTCCGCTGGACAGCTTTCCAGCCATCAACATCTGGAACACAAATGAAAACACTCTGCATTTGCAACAAACTGTTGAGCAAAACAAGGCAAAACATGCTTATAGTGAATAGCAAATGGGGTTTTCTTAATATTCTGCATTCAAATACAGTCCTCCAAAGTCCCAGGCACCTCTCCACTTGGACGTCACCCACGCCCATTCACACGCACTTTGAGTCTGACTCTTGTAATGAGAGAACATGTTTTCATCTGTCTGTAAATTGCATTTGATTGACTAAGGTCAATAAATATTTCCTTTACTAAATCAGGGTTCAACCTTAGTGAAATAAGAGGGTGCAGTAGGCTCATAGAGAAACTCAGATGGGAAATCATATCAGTCCCCCACACTTTTATAGTGCTTTGTGGCTCGGTAACTAACTTTGCATAAATTAATGTATTTCATGTTTCTAAAACACTAAATTACTGGTGAATGTGAATCCCAGGAAGATGGTCATGAATGCGCCAATCCACATGAATTGTTCCTTTGTGGTTTTGAAATGAATGGGGATGGGACATGCAAGGAGATGGGTCTCTTTTTAGTTTTCCTTTTAAAGTTATTTACACACTGGTCTGAGTACACAGTTTAGCTATGACATTGTCAAGACATTAGGGCCTGCCTTATTGCCCTGAAAAAAATAAAGAGTTCATTTTAAAAGCTAGATGGGAGTTGCTAAAGATGACTCAGGAGTCCACCTCTGGATGGGGAGGTGGCTGTCTCTAAGCACATGCTCTACAATGTTAGTGACAAAATCCTAGAAGCACTTTACCTTGATGGAAGGTAGAGGTGATTCTGTGGACACTGTAGTCCCCGGAGCTTTGGCAGCTGGCTGAATGCCCATAACAAAAGCACTGGGTGCAACCCTCAGGGTTTCTCCTATCCAGATGATAGTAACCTGGTCGACACCTGCAGCGGTTTTAGAAATAAAGATAATATTATAAGTGAGTTTTTATTCCATATGGGGAATATTATGACTAATTTTTTTCTGCTTTATCTCCTACCCAGCTCTATTCATTCCTGGAAAGTGGAAGACCAAGTTACACTTCCCATCCCTCCCCCCAGAGCACATGACAGACAATGACAGCTGCCCGTTGACAGATCATGAGGAACATCCCTGTTCTCAACTTCTGGAAAAGCAGAATCATGTTTCACTTGGTGGTCTGGAAACTTGGTGGTTTTCCCCTCTGTGGTGAGGAATTGAGTAGAGGTCATGTGGGCAGAGCTGACCCTGTCCTGAAGCAAGTGTTTAATTGGAGCAAAAGAGTCAGAGTGGGACGGGCACCAAGGGTAGGCCCCCTACTTTACCCCCCGTCATAGGACCACTAGGTATTGTCTGCCACCTGCCCCCTTACCTGGGCTCTGGCCCCCAGGCTATCATGAGAAGGGGGATGAGGGTTCCCTATGAAAGGAGGCTGGCCTTTCACTTCTGTTCCCAGTTCAAGGCCTCCAGGGGGCTTCTCTGAGGACCATAGCTGCCAGAAAAGTCCGTCCCAGATGTTGGGTCATAGAGGACAAGGCAGAAGAAGCTGGGAAAGACTTATTTTTTCCCACTCTTCAATTTAACCACCTTCTTCTACATGAAATATAGATAGCTTCAATGGTCATTTATTTTGCACTTATGGTACACCGACACCTGGTGAAGTCCCTCTCATTTTATCCTCACTGCAACCCTACGAAAATAGGAATTATTATTTCCAATTTTCCTAGAGGAAGACCCCAAGGCCAGAGAGATTAAGAAACTTGTTTAAAGGCATACAGCTGGTAAGTGACTGAGACAAAGGCAAACGCAGGTACATCTGCCTCTAAGCCAGGTGGTCTCATCCACAGGACCGTGTCAGGGGATGGTCATTGTGCAAAATCACAGAAAAGCAGGTTAGCTGCCAACAGTAATGCTTCAGAAAACAGCTGTGAATAATTAAGCATTGTTTCACCCTTTCAGAGCAAGGGTTAAAAATATCCTAGTAGTTTCTATAGAGAAGCCTATGCATTAAGAGAGATTAAAAAACAAGTGAGGGAGGGGAGGAGAGGGGGGAGGGCACAGGAGGGAGGGGCAGGAAGGGGCTGGTAGGGGAGGGAAAGGAGGGGATTTGGTTAAACTAAAGGATAGTAGTGTTTAGAGCTTCACTTGGGTAATAAATTATGAAGGAAAGCAAGGAAGCTATTTCCATGGAAGTCAGAAGAGTGCTCACTTCTAGGGAGGAGGGAGGGGCATTCTTAGCAAAGGTCAATTTCACATAATGAGTGGTGACATATGTTTATTCAGCCTTCTATGGCTGTTATGTTTTGAAACTGAAAACATTTTTTTAGAGTGACTCCTTTTTTTTTAAGAGTAAAGAGAAATTTATTTTTTGGTTTCTTTCACATTCTTTTTAAAAAACTTGATATATTTTTTACATCATTTTTCATTTTTGCACAATGTATGCATTTTCTTTTTTTTTTTTTTAAAGATTTATTTATTTACACAAGCACTGGGTACAGTCAGAAGCGCAGGAGGGTGAGAGAATTCATCAGAGCCAGAGCGGGGAGCAGAGCAGGCAGAAGGACCGAAGTACTCTGCTGAGGGGAGCAGCGGGCGGCAGAGGAGGTCTGTGCTCCATGTGTGACCCCCCCTCTGGTGGCTGGGGAGCAGCCAGGGATCGAACCGGTGCTGCAGAGGCTGCGGACAGCTTTGCAACCCAGCGCTCAACTGCTGCGCCACCAGGGAGGCCCCCCGTATGCATTTTCATCTTGGTTATAATCCCCATACAATTCCCACCCGCCTTGTTTTGATCCTACTCCCTCCCCACCCCCCATAGTGTGTCTCTGGTTTATAGTTGCTTGTTGATTTTGATGCCCCAAAATAGATGACTGGATGTGGTACATATACACCATGGAACATTACTCAGCAATCAAAAAAGATAAACTCATGCCATTTACAGCAACATGGATGTAGCTGGAAGGGATCATGCTCAGCGAAGTAAGCCAGAAAGAAAAAGAAAAATACCGAATGGTCTCACTCATAGCAGGAATTTAGAAAACCTAAATAAGGGACCAGGAAAAAGACTAATTATAATAAAATGACTCTTCTTTTAACCCGTAGCTCTGTTCCCGTACCACACCTCACCAGCAAAGAGCTCCCTGGAAACACAGCTGAGATCGTGTCTGGCCCTTCTCTGCCCAGGTATGAGTGACTGGCAGGATGCCAAAGAGCTACTTTCATACTGAAGGAAGCAGGAAAGAAGCCTTGACCTCTGGGCCCACCTCACAGCTCTCTGCCCACAACAATCTCAGGGAGGAAGAACTTTAGGTCTGAGCACAATTTGTACTGGAGAACAAACCCTAGATATCTGACTGCAGAATGGAGGCTACCAGCAGGAGAGGGTGGAGTCAATGGACTGTGGTTTGGGGCCCACAGGGCTCCTACATCTCTTCCTGGGTCACATGTGTGCAGGTCACCACCACGCATTCCTGCGTGGCTCCTTTTCTGTGCACGATGGCTAGTTAGGCCCATATGCTGCACTCTTTCTCCTCGACATGTGGAATTAGGCTGGGCTTTTCCTGGGAGCAGACTGGGTCATATGACCTCATTACTGCACACCACATAGTATGGGAGCACTGGGGACTCCCAGCCAGCTGATGAGGGGACTCACTGGGGCCCCATTCTCTGCCTTAGTGTGAGCCAAGAGAAGGGCCTGCAGAGAGATGAGTAAGACTGGGAGCTTCAGTTGTATCAAAATAAAGAACAAAAAAAGCCTGATTTTGAGGACAGGAGGCAAGAAGAAGGTCGTCAGCATTTGTAAGTGTGTCTTTTCCGTCACTGCACTGAGGATGAATTCTCAGGCTGGTGCTCACGGGGTGGGGGGGGGGGGGGGGGGTGCTGTGTGCGCAGGGGCACAGTATACACAGACCTATCGCAGCGTTCTCCAGTGACAGCGGACTTGCAGACACAGCGGCCTGAGTCACAGGGCCCTGCGATGCCAGCTGGGTCACAGTCACATCTGGTGTCCCTGGGAAAGAAGAGAAAGAAAATTAGGGATGTGTTTCCAAGTGTTCTGTAACTCTACACAGAAAGAGCAAATGCTTAGCAGCAAATGTCACCAACTGGAGCCAATCTTTCACCTCCGGCGGGACATCTGTCGGCGGGCTTGGTCAGTGCTCATGGCTTAGGCCCTTGAGGCCTCCTTTGTCTATGCTGCTACTCAAAGTGTGGTCTGCACCAACAGCCAGGCCATGAACTGTGTGCTCTCCAAGACAGAAGGGGTTTGCTACAGAATGTAAACCAAATTTATCACCAAGCTGTTTAGTTCAGTTTGCTTGACTGGTTGGGTTGACATTCTTTTAAAAGTTACTGTTTGTCTTGTTATTTAATTCATCGAAGTCTGATTTTATTGTGGTTAGTTTCCTTTTGGAAGTGCTTCTACTGGGATCACACTCACAGGCCATGCAATTGACCCTTTCGAAGAAGATGGTTCAATGGTTTTTAGTAGCTTCTCAGACTTGTACAACCACTACCACAATCAATTTTAGAGCATTTTCATCACTCCAGAAACACTGTGCTTTAGCAATTTACCCCATGTCCTCACCCCAGTCCTAGTTGCCACAGATTTGCTTTTGTGCAACTTTCCCTAGAAATAGGATCATACAACGTGTGGACTTCTGTGTTTGGCTTCTTTCCCTTAGTGTGTTTTCAGCGCTCATACATGTTGTAGTATGTATCAGTACTTCCCTCTTCTTATGACAAAATAAAATTCTCCATTCATCAGTGGGTGGCCATTTACATTGTTTCCACTTTTTAACTGTTCTGAATAATGTCACTCTGAACATTTCAGAACACCTTTTTGTCCAGACATACAGGTTTTCATTTTGAGTGTCTGCTAGCAGTAGAGCTGCTGAGTTTGGTTGATTTTTTTTTTTTTTTTTGTAATAGACTTTCTCAATGCAGGAATCAGTGCTTTTGCCTAACTCGGCACAATCTCCTTGTCACCTGCACACTCGTGCTTTGAGAAGCACTGGTCTTGGCTGCTCGGCTGGGCGTGCAATCCTATGTAGCCACTCATGGGTCTAGAGCCATGTTTGCTGACCTCTCCCTACTAATCTGCTCCTCCTCTGACACTCCATGACTCCATCCCAATCCTGCCAAACCTGGATCTAACGCCTCCCTCTCCCTCCCATTCGTCATCCACTCAGATGCTTCAGGCTTTCTGAAGACTTCTTTCCCTGTCTTCATCTTTCAATTCCCACTCTCCTCCACTGTCTTGGCCTCTCCATACACAATCTGGTCCTCTGATGACTTGGATTCAGCATGTCCTGGCTGCTAAACATGGAGGTTAGTGATAAAGAGGAGTAACCCCTGTCTGGGTGTGTCAAGGCGGGCAAAGATGTGGACATGAAGGCGATAATGGGTGAAGTTGAAACAGAGCTTAAACCCCCTCCATGTGCTTCTTCCCACACGAAGCACTGGGGATGCAGCCCTAAACAAGACAAAGTCAAAATGGGGCTTCTCTGCGTGCAGTAGAAACAAACAAATACGGGTAGAAAGTAAGACATGCCATCATTGGTGGAGACATCGGCTCTGCTCAGAGTCTCTGCAGGAGATGGATGAGGGGTTGGAGCAATACAGCTCCACCTGGCTCTGCTGGAAGGCAGAGGACAGCAGCCCAAGGCAAGGTCACACAGGCTTGGTGCCTTCAAAGAAGGGAAGGCAGGTTGTTGGGGGTTCAGGGAGCCAGGGAGAGCGGTGAGCAGTCCTGGAGCTGGAGCTGAGGGTGTGAAGGCAGGAGGATGGCACAGGACCCTCCTAGCCTCTAACCTGAGTAAGCAGTTGGGGCCTCATTCTGAGTAGAAATCGGGACTAATGGAGGTTGCAGCAGAGCAGTGGTAGAATCTATTTCATTTTAAAGGGTTGCAGAGGGAGACTGGCCCCAGGGAGGGGGTTAAATTGAAGACTGTCTGAAAGGGGGCAGGGAAAACTAGAGAAGAGCTATCTATGCAGAGACCTGGAGGGTAAGAGAACTGGGGACTGAGGATAACTGACACTACAAGGAGGCAAGGGTCTGCAGAGTGGGCCGTGGAGAGAGTCCTCTGTGGTTAGTCTTCCAGGTAAAGGCCTCACTACCCAGCTCCCCTCCTCAGTGCCCTCCCAGTGCCCTGGCACCTCCGCCTTTCTGCAGATTGCTTATGTGATTTATGTTCTACTTTCTTCTGAAAAAGAAGTTGAAGCAGGCTAGGGGGATGCCACAAACTAAAAGGAACTAAAACTAGGCAGAAATGTTCTCCTACTCCAATTCAATTGGGTTGAAAGGGGCCCCAGATTAGAATTTGAAGGTCTCTTGCCCTCCATCCTAACTCATCTAAAGGGTGAGGGTGGGCCTCCCTGGTGGGGCAGCAGTTGACCGCTGGGCTGCGAAGCTGCACACAGCCTCTGCAGCGCCAGTTCAATCTCTAGACACCAGGCGAGGGTCCCACATGGCACGCAGACCTCTCCAGCCACACCCACTGCTCTCCTCAGCAGTGTATTTCAGTCAGTCTGCCTGTTCTGCTCCCCACTCTGGCTCTGGTGAATTCTCTCACCCTCCTGCACTTCTGACCGTACCCAGTGCTTGTATAAACAAATAAATTTTTATAAATAAATAAATAAATAAATAAAGGGTGAGGGTGGGGGGTAGTCAGGGTGAAGAACATGGGTTCCAGAGCCCAAGCTCAGGGCTTGAATATTAGGTCCCCCCTCACTAGTAAATGAGGTCCACCCTTACCCATACTGGGAGGTATCATACTTAAGCTCTGTGGCTTGTGTTTCTTATCTTTAACATATGCATCATGCTAACCCCAACTCTTAGACTATTGTGAAGATAACCCACATAAAGTCCTTCAAACAGTGCTTGGCACACAGGGGTGCTCATAGACATAAGGTCACTCATGTTAACCTAACTGCTATCGCTCACAAGACACAGCAGTGGTGGATGGAGGCGCTTACGGTAGCCTTTGGTCGTGGGAGCACCCGGCATCGGTGAGGGTGTGGAAGCCGGGCTGGCATCGGTCACACCGGTCTCCTGTCACACCTGGTTTACACTTGCACTGACCAGAGCTGTCACATCGAGGGCTAAGAGAACCTGTAGCCAGTGAGGTAGGAGAGAGGAAAGAAGAAGAGGAAATATTACATTCATATGGCATTCAGACGCGACTATCCCCCTGTTCAATAAATACCAAGTAATAACCATCACCTCTGGCAATTCTTCAATTGAGTATTCATCAGCACTTTCCAGGGAAAGTTCTGGAAGTCTGGGGATCCTCTTCAGGGAAATAAATGGAAATCACTCCTGAAAGCATTTTCATGCCTATATGATTTTAACATTAAGTAGTGTGTGAGCCACTTCTTTTTCAAAGAAATTTGTCAAATCTTTGAGATCTCAAGCAGGAGGGAAATTTGTGATGTGCACAAGGGCCTCCTAGATACAAGTGCAAGAAAATGAGCAGCATTTTTCTTTATCTCTGGTAGGCAAAAGCCAACATTTAAGTGTCAATGCTTGTACAGTATGATTTTTTTGTGTAAAAATATGAACAACCTCTTAACTAAAAATATAGTCAATAGGAGTTGTAGGGCCTCCCTGGTGGGGAGTACTGAGGACAGCTGTCCCTATCAAGCTGTCCCCAGCACTGCAGCACAAGGAGCAACCCACATGGTGTAGCAGACTCTCAGGGCTCACCTGCTGCTCCCCTCAGCAGTGTATCTCAGTCAGTCTGCCTGTTCTGTTCCCCACTCTGTCCCTGGTGAATCCTCTCACCCCCTGCACCTCTGGTCTACACTCCAGTTCTTGTATGCATAAATAAATAAATCTTTAAAAAAATTAAAAAATAATATGAGTGGTAGAAAGTCTCCTCCTTGGAGCATCATCCTTGTGAGGAATCCCAGGATTCTCTCCTGGTCTTTGTGCTAGAGTATTTATCGAGGGTGACTTTTATGGTCATGCTCTTAAAGGTAAGTGGGTCCCCTAAGATTTAAGTGGTGCTGAAAGACCAGAGGTACTCAGATAATAAAACATGCTGTACTCAGCCACTTCTACCACCTGTCCAGGCTCCATCCTGTCTCACCTGGACCCTGCCTCACATGCTCCTCCTGTCTCTGCCCTTGCTTCCTGTGCTCAACTCTCTCTATAGAAGCCAGGGTGGGCTTTTAAAAATGTAATTAAGCTCATATGACTCATCTGTGTAAGTCCCCCTGGCTCCCCTCTGAAACAGAATGAGATGCAAATTCTCTATCTTAGCCTGTGAAACTTAGCTCTCTTCCCTCTTCTGCTATCCTCCTTCACTAAGCCCCAGCTCCCCAGCATTTGTTCTGTTCCCAGAAAGTGCTTAGCTGCTATCTTCCCCTGGCGCCTGCACTTACTGCTCCCATAGCCTGGAATGCGCTTTCCCCAGAACACCTCCTACTTGGTCCATCCTCTGCAGTCTAGTCTTGATTAAATACTACTTCTCTAGAGAAATCCTTCCTGACTCCCAGATCTAAAGACCCATTCCATGGAGACACCAGTCCTTAGTCCCGCTTACTCGCGATTTCCCTGACTTACGTATCCCCTGAGCCCAGCATAGCACCCGGCGCAAAGAAGATGCCCCAAAATGTGTTGGATTAATGCTCATCAGTCATAAAAGAGGACGGGGCTACTGTGTGAGAAGTTAAGAGAGATCCAAAGAGGAGGTGTGCCTTACCTCCTCGATATTCCCCCTGCAGCTGGCAGGATCCAAACTATATCTCAAATAACTGATGATTAGGTTATCCATGATCAAAGAAGCCAATGGAACAGTCATCATTTTTTCCCCTAATTTCATCCTTTATTTCCTAATCTGTATATCCTATGAACTTTAATTTACCGGCAGATAAAATTCAAATCAACAAAGGTGCTGGCTCTGTGCCTGTATTTTAATGCCCTATGTGAAATAACTTAGTTATATCTGCAGTCCATTAAAGGCTCCCCATGTCAATTTTGCAAGGCTTGAAGGGCCCCTCAGTGATAATCACATGAACCCCATTTGTGTGTACCTGTGACATGTGAGACACTGAAGTAGGTGCCTTATAGATATACAAATATATACACGCACATATATAATTTATTTTCCCTCATGCTATCTACTAGTGAATGAAAAGTTGGCAGAAGTTCATTTGCAGTTGGAGGAACAGCTCTAGAGAAACTCCAGATGCTTGGGAGGGGAGCTCCATCAGGAACTCCCAGGACATCAGGGGCTGAATTGGAAGAATCTGGGTGAGGAAGAGAGGCAGGAGAGCCACTGTGACTGTCTCCACTGTGATGTAGATTGAGCCGAGTTAGGATATGGACGATAGTAGGGGACAAGGGAGGTGACACAGATGACACCCAGGTAATCAGAGTGCACAGCTAATTGTCAGGCCACTGAACAAACCCCAGAAGACAAAAAAAAAAGAGGAGCAGGATCAATCTCATATTGAATCAGCCAGAGAAAATAAGTTTTGTTTTGGACACACTGAACTTGCATCTATAGCACATGTCAAGTTGGTGGTATTAAAAAGGAGCTCAAGAAAGAGACTGCAGGTGAAGACCTGAAAGCTCTTGGCACAGGCTGAAGGGAAGCCAGAGCAAGGGGACAGTCTGGGAACAAATGGAGAGAAGAGGGGCCGGTGCCTCAGACAAAAATGGAACTTCAGGGGGAAGGGGAAGGGTATTTAGATGGGGGAAAAGACTCAGAATAGAAGAAGCCACTGGAGGTGAGTTCTCAGGATGGTGAAGGGCAGAGAAGGGTGGGATAGTTTTCAGGATCTTAGGCAACAGTATTTTACAGGATGAGAATAAAGAACGGCAACTAGGTTTGGATTTAGAGACCATCACCCTCACTGTTCTCTAGTCAGCAAACAGAGCTGAAAAGGACAATTTCTTTTCAAATTTATGCTCTGATTTATTCAATAGAATAAATCCCTCTTTAATATAATTTAATTTTTTAAACAAAATGGGTTAAATCTGGAATGCAGAGACACTTTTCCCCCCATTCAATTAATGGAAATTATACATTGACTTAAGAAAACTCTCCCTACTGTAATTTTTCAGCAATGAATTATTCTTACAAAGTGAGAAGACTATACTTTGCTTTGAGTTTGCCCCATATAGCCCAGAATGGTAGCCTATCAAATATTCTTGAGGTGTACTAGCAGTCACCCTCATAAAAATAGACATCCTGTGTTCGAAAGAGTTTGGGAAGTGGAATAGACAAAGTCTTTCAGAGATCTATGACCTAACAGTCCACTCAAGAAGCATAAGCTTGTTTAAGTTTTCAGTGCCAAAGTCTCCAAACATTATTTGACATTCTTAGAGGCAGCACCTATTATTATCTTGAAGAACACAGTGTTCCATAGGACATTGTCAAGAGAATACAGCTCTAGAAACCGGAAGGCATGAAAAGAGGCCAGGCTTTGAAGTCCAACAGATCTCACTTCAAATACCAGCTCAGCCACTTACCAGTTACATGTTCTGCATTTGAGATTGAATATACAGCAAATTCCCTTGGTGAGTTATTATTTGAAAATGAAAGATGTCCTCTGGCTGATGGGGAGACTGAAAAATGATGCAGGGACTTGGACTTGAGCCACCGGGTTAGGGACCTCTTGGACATGGTGTTATGGAGGACAGTCCTTGGCACTCAGCTGAGCAGCTCGGGCCCTGGGCATTTGGTTTGTCATGTCTACAGTGGGGGTGAGCTGAGTGAGGTAACATACATTTATGGTCAGGGTATTAGGAGAACTGACGATGACATAGAACATGACAGTGTTCTGGAAAAATACAAAGCATGACCCAGATCTTAGGAAACAGTACCCATGAAGTTTCTCCCAGACATCTGATGGTCTGCCTTTGGGGATGAAAGGACAACGTTCTGAGGCTTTTCCGTTCATATGGAGAGAACCAGAGGGAATAGCTCCCTATCAGAACACCCAGATTATAATGTTATCTCTTAGAGACACTAACTGGGAAACGTCAGACTTCATTAACTTTTGTAAGCCTCAGTTTCCTCACTGTTTAAATATTGTTTTAAAAATTCACTGCTGATTTTCAGTATGTTAATGACAAAACATTAATAAACAGTTTGTATCAAATACGGTGTCTACAAGGCTTCTTTTCAGGCTGGAATGTCATTTTTGGTTTGTCTGTTTGGTTTTTTATTTTCTATTCCTTTGCAAAACTTTTTACTGAAGTAACATTGCATTATAATATTATCTAAGTCTCAGGTATGGATCATTATAAATCAACATCTGTATATACTACATTAAGTTCACCACGAAAAGCCCAATCTACCCTTCACCATACAATTGACACCTTATACCTGATTGATCTAACCTTCTTCCCTTCTGGTCATCACTAATTTGGTCTTATCGTCTAAAAGTTTATTTTTATTTCATTTGTTTGTTTTATTTCATTATGTACAACCTATGAGTGAGATGGTAGGGTGTTTGTCCTTCTCCATCTGACTTATTTCATTGAGCATAATATCCTCAAGATCCATCTATGTTGTTACAAATGGCAGGATTTCACCTTTTCCATAGCTGAGTAGTATTCCATTGTGTATATATACCACATCTTCTTTATCCACTCATTTGTTGATGGGCAATTAGATTGTTTCCAGCTTTTGGCTATTACAAATAATGTAGTGATGAACATAGGGTTGCATATATCTTTCCAATTTAGTACTATTGTCCCAGTAAAAACCCAAAAATGGAAAAACTGGATTATATGGAATTTTTATTTTGATATTTGTTGAGGAATTGCCATGCTTTCCAAAATGACTGCATCAATTTATATGAAATATCATTTTTTTAAAAAGTCAGTGTTCCAGGAGATTGGGACCTCCATCACTGTCCTAAATAGAAGAGTCACATCAACTACAGTTTATTGAGTTGTCTACTATAGGCTTAACAAACATCAGTTTATCTTCCTTTGATTCTGTGACATAAACAGCATGATCACCCTTTCACAGCGGAGGCAGTGGAGCACCAGAGGTTAAAGAGGGTGCCCAGATGAGGCAGGAGTAGTGCTTGTGCCAAGATTGGCAACCAGTCTGCTCAAAAGCCCACCCCTCCCCTCTGTGGTCTTTGGCGTCAACACACCAGGGGCTGGAACACTTGCTGTGCCACGGAGCTCTGTGAGTTTCTTCACCTCCCTCCCTAAGCCTCTATGACCTCACTTTAAAAATGGTAATAATAATAATGCCCTCTTCATAAGGTTATTTATGAAGATTAAATTTATGACTGGATAAAAAGCATCTGGAAATGCCTGGCACAGAGCAAGCATCAGCACATGTGAGCGAGCATACAGGATGGAAGTTGTTGGGTGGCTCCACCGCTCCCTCCCAGGCTGTTCACGCAGAGTGTGGGGTATCCATTCCTCCCAAGGAAAGAAAGAGCTTAGTTCATGGCTGCCGAGTGAGCAATGGACTACATGTGAAAAGAAAGAGCCCAAGTCTTGTGCCCTCATTACCATCTCTCTCTGCTCCTTGTCTCCTGGAGCCCAGAGACCTTGCCTGCAGGCCAGGCTTTCCAGCTGAGCGAATTAAATTTCTAATTACATTCTTGCTGATCATTTTGCCAGATGACCCAACACCCATGACTCATGATGAAGCTGTATCACCTAAGGCTCTTCAGAGAGGTTAAATGCCCAATAAAATGGACACATGTGTCTATTTAAAGGCTTCTTAATTCATAGGGAGAATTGCTAAATCTGAAGGTTCTGAACACTGGTTCTGGGCCACAAAGCTGAGCAAATCTGACTCAAACCACAATGTAACAGCAACTCTAATGAACTTGGGAGTGTCTGCTAGACATAGCTCTGCACAGCATGGCTTTTGCCGTTTTTCCAGAAGCCTCCCACCCACTCATGGCTGCACCAAAATCTGCCCATTTTTTTTATTCTTTCTGTTGGTTTCCTAGAGCCACACCAGGTCATTACCATGTACTATGGTGATACCCTTTAGTTGGATTAGTATTAATGTATTATACTATTAAACACTTACTTTTGTGTGTGTGGTATGTGTAGAAGAACTGGGATGTAGGCCAGAGTGGGGGAGGTTAGAAGATTCACCAGAGACAGGGTAGGGAACAGAACGGGCGGATTTACTGAAATACTGCTGAGGGGAGCAGTGGGCGAGACAAGAAAGGTCTGCTGTGCCATGTGGGTAGCTCCCTGGCCGCGGATCAAACTCAGGAAGTAGCAGTGATAGCGCTGAGTCTTAACCCCTAGGCCACCAGGGTGGCCTTCTTAAACACTTTCTAGCAAAGAGAGAGAGATAATGCCAAGAAAGATACCTTGGATATATAGGTAGTTAAAAAAAAAAAAAAGATCAACTTATTTTACACAACAACCCCTCTCTCCTTTGTAGTCACTTGTCTCCACTGTCTGCTCGTGAGCAAAGGACAAGATGTGTATCTGTGTGCCCAGGAGCTGCTCACAGTTCTGTAGCTCAGGGTGGAATATTTTAGAAAAACAAAAACAAGTCCTCCTTTGAACCAGCCTCCCTGTTTGTGCTTCCCATTTGTGACTTCACTTTCTCTTGGTCATCACCCCATGAAAGTTCTACTCTGCCTAGTTACTTGTCTGGGTCTTTCATCAGCACCGCTTTCTATTGCTAATACCTAGCACAGCACCGGTCACAGATCTTTGTAATCCCTTATTTTTGAAAGGTTGGTGAAAGGAATTGCTATTGCTAGGAAGATTGTCATGGGCTGGGAAAAGCAGCAGTGTGCCTCCTGGTACTGGAATCTAACCAGCCTGCCCTCCAGCCTGCCCTATAGACCCTCGTTGGCTCCCACACCCCAGATTTAAGGAAAACATGTTTGCTTTCAGACTGAAATTACCAAAATGGACCCATGTGTAGCAGATTTCCCAACGTTCTAGAAGTCAAACAGCACCTCTTCTCCTGCTTTCTTCTCCCTCTTTTGCTCCCTCCTTCTCCATCCTCTCCCTCTCCATCTATCTCTTCCCCCAAATACCTTTGGGGTTACAGTTGCAGGGCAAACAGCGGTCTCTCTCTCTCTGCCGGTAGAAGCCCTCCTTGCACCTCTCGCAGCGGACGCCCTCAGTGTTGTCAATGCAGTTGAGGCAGCGGAGTCCATTTCCTGTCTGTGTGTGAAGTTCCCAATCAAAGATGCATTGCTTGGACTTCCCATTGCAGTCACAGACTAAGGGGCAGGACAAAACAGACATTGTTAGTGTGGGGGTTGGGGGTGGGAAGAAACCAAAAATCAAAACTCAGGGACAATTCTTCCACGTGTTTTATTATTATGGATACATATTACGCACACATTACATGTCATGCCACATATTAATTCCAACTGTGGGAAGGAGTAAATTAAGGGAGGGAAGACGGTGAGAGTCCTTGGCCCACCTGTAGGAAGCAGAGGTATGCTGTGCTGGGGGTGAAGTGGTGGCTGGAAGAACATGAATTTAGAGTTGCCACACTGTCCAATTGTTCAAAAATCATATGTTATGTATTTGCATGGAAAATTTCCTGATCAAAATATTTGCAAGAGATTCACTTTTTAAAATTTATTTTCTTGCATTGCTGTTCATTAAGGGATTCATTTTCTGAAAATGCTGTGCAAGCCCATAGAACAGGTCTATGGGCTGGGGAGATCCTGTAGGCTCCAAGTTGGTACACCCTGGCATGACCCCCAACTGTGGGTGGTGTTATCTGTTCAAGATACACATCTGTCTCCAGGGGTGATCAAGGTAGAACAGCTACAGTGGCCGGCTGGATGGGTATCCCCTCCACTCCTCTCACCATCCCTTGAGTGTCCATCCCCAAGCCAGGAGTCAGGAAAAGCAGTCCCATGAAGAATAACCTTTCCCATGTGTCTAGGAAAGTTCTCCCCATGGGTGTCCCCAGGAGATTCATGGAGTGACTGACATCTCCATGTGACACCTAAATAGCCAATGAGGTAATACTTGGAAATCCTCAACATAGTACCTGGCAGACACTCCAAAAAATGAAAGCTGATGAACCTTGCAGATAAAAGAACTGATCAAATATGGGTCTTGCTATTTCCTTGGGCAAATTGCTTCAACACTCTGAATCTTGTTTCTTCTCTTCTAAGTGTAGAGGACATTATCTGCCTCCCTGGATTGTTGAGAGGATCCCACTGAAAACAGACTATCAAATCCCTTGCAGTAGCTACTTCCTCCCTCACTCCCATGAGATCGATATTGTCTAGGATGAGAAAAATGCAGGTAACTTGAACCAGTGGAGACCCAAGGTTTGAACCATTGTCTGAGGTCAAAACTCACTTCCTTTTACCAGACATACAGTCTCCCTGGGCCATGCAACCTCAGTGAACCAGAGCCTGGCTCCAAGAATGCCTAGGGCCATGACACCAGAGCACTGATAATTAAGTCTGAAAATGGGCCAGCATAGACTGAGCGGGGGCCCCATACAGCCTCTGACGGTGCACCAGTGACCAGATAAATTGGATGTACTTCCTAAGTGACTTCTTAACAACAGCTCCAAGAATTCATGTTCTTGTTACTTCGAATACCATCAAATGTAGGAAAAGTCAACTAACATCTATCCAGAGTCTACTTGATGTCTAGGACTTTGCATTAATCAACTCAGCTAATTCTCACACCCCGTTTAATGGAGGGGCCTCATATCTTGCCTAAAGTCACACAGCTCAACCGCAAAAGTCTAACTACAAAGGTTTCCCTTTTGCCCTGCTGCAAAGAATCTGGTTCTGCACTACAGGTGCCTATTTCTTCTACAACCCTCTCCTAGAGGGTTATTCAATAGCCCTTTCTCGAATCTTTTCTCATCAAGCTCCACGTCCTGTTTCCCCTATTAGGCAGCACAGACTGTTACAAATTATTTTTTATGGCAGTTTGAAGCTCTCTTCCTTCCTGTGAATTTTGCCACGTGTTCTTGTTCTTGGAGAACAATGCACGCTCATGCTCATGTGCACACACACATATGCAAGTTCTTTTCATCTACTTACTCACCAGACGTTTATTTCTGACGTTGTTTTACAAGGTATTGTTTTGACCTTCAAATATCTGAAGACAACGCATAGCATCTCCTTCTTTCGTTTTGTTTCTTCAGGCTAAACTGGAGACTTCTCACCTTCAGGTCCTTCAACTATTCCCCATGTCATGATTTCTAGATTCTTCCTGACTACTCTTCTAGGAACAAACCCTAATTTTCAAAATCTTTCTTAAAATGACCAAAATCATTACAGTACTTTGAGTGTGGTTTGAACAGCTCAGCTTACGACAGGACTAGATATTATCATTCCATGCACACAGCTTAACATTTCATTAAATTTGCAGCATATTAAATTTGCACTCAATTCAGACTTGCAAGGGCTTTTCCACAGAGCTGGTGCCAAGCTTAATTTTTCTCAACAAATGCTATAGAGCTGATTTTTTTGGATTCCAAACAGATGTGCCACACAGCTGTCATGTGCTGTGAAATTTTACTGAGAACATCGTTAAGCACGTACCAGAGCTAAATCCACCAGCTCATGATGCTTGTGAGGTTACTCAGCAAGTTCACACAGTGAGCAATGCTCTCTCTGCCTTGAATGACTTTGGGGAGCAATCTCAAAATAATTATGAACTATTCACTATGACTTTTTAATTCAGAATATAACTTTGCTGGTCATAGTTAATTTCATAAGGACAGTAGGTGATATATTTACTTAGAGCAATAGTTTAAAAATAGACAACCTTGCTCTAACCTCATTTTTCTCCACCAGCACTGTCCCCTTCTGTCCTTTCTCCTTTAAAGCCCTGCTTTGAAAGAGTGGGTGTTTTTCCCTTAAATTCATGGCCTCAGTGTAGAGTTACACCAAGAGAGGTCTTTACCTTGCATCTCCGCCCTGGAAATAGCCCAGTTAGTTATGAACCTATTGCCAAATCTCTCCATCTCGCAAATGGGTTTCCTTAAAGCCCAAGGTTCAGCAGACTCAGATTGTATTGTCCTCCAGTATCTGCATTATCTGACTACTTCAGAGACACTCTCTCAGTCTTGCCTGCAGGACTTTGACCACACTGAGCTCCACCATTTAGCTGCACTGCACTTAGCTCAACACTGGCCTTTCTGAACATTTACACTCAAGAATGAGAGCAGAGAGTTTGCTCCCTTGCTAGAATGACCCTTTTTGTCATTGATGCATTGGAAACATGTTCTTTCTGAAATGTAGACTAAATTCCCTCAAACTATTTATTAAAACCATTCTCACTATTAGACCAAAAAATTCCAGAATATTCCTGCAGCTGGGTTTAATAAATGGGACTCAGGCAGCTGGTGGCAGGTCAGTTATATTCTGTGACCGATTTCTATCCAACCACCACATGGGCACACAGGTTGCCTAAGGACACTACCAGGATAGGAATAAGGTGACAGGGAGCAGTGGAGACTGTGCCAAAAATGCTAAAGAGAGAAGCAGCATTTCACCTCTGGCCAATAGTAGCCACATGGGAATAAAATCTGTCATAGTCAGCATTTCCACTTATGTTTCTTAAAGAAGGCTGATGTGGCTTTGGCTAAGAAGAGCTATGTCCAAGGACAAATCTCTGTACTTGACTCGGCTCTTCTAATAGTCAGAAAACACCTCATGCTTAAGAAAATGGAGTAACAAAGTATAGGGCACCGTCTTTGGTCTGTAGTAGGCTTTTTGTTTGTTTGTTTGTTTGTTTAATGAATAAAGGAATGAATGTTCTCTTGATCTTATTCTAGGTGCTTCTACCATTTAAAGTGCTCTGTGCACATATGGACATGCCTTAGAAATACGAATATTCCCCCTCCTCCCCTGCATGCTCTCTTCCTGGTCCTTGAGGGGATGCTTTACTCCCGAGAAACTCAGTCCAGAAAACAGTCTTTCCTGGTAATTTTAACAATTATTTATTTATTTAGGTTAGTAACACTTAAATACAAGCCTAGAATACATTTGAAAACAAGAGGCAATTCTAAAAGCGTTTTTATTTTATTTACTTTTCCCCTTTGTGTTTAACCATGTTTAACTTTATGTCTACAATTTTTTTCTTTTTCTTTTTCTTTTTTTGGTAATATACTTGATACTCTCCAAAATTTAGGGCGAACAGCAAATTTCATAAATAGGTTGTCTACTTTCCATCAGGAGACTTGACACAATGCAAATGATGGAAATATAAAGATGCGGGTCTTGGACAGGTCTCGAGTGAACTGGAACCAGTGCAACTGTGCGTTCATTCATCCAACCATCCATCCTTTCATCCATCCATGCTTCCATTCATTCATTCGTTAAAGAAACTCACATTGAGCATCTACTGCAATGCCAGGCCCTGTTTTTGGCACTGGGAACATAGCAGTGAAAAAAACCAGTAAGTGCCCCAGCCACCAGGGGGTTTACACTAAAGTAAGAGGGAAGGAAAACAAACAATTTAAGTAGTATATAGAGACTATTGGTAGCTCTCTTTCACTCGATAAAGCAGTGAAAAGAAATAGGGAGTTAGGGGGTAGGTGAGTAGGAAAGGAGGGCTGAAAGATGATGGTTTGCTTTATTTCTATTATGATACTGATATGTTCACAATCTTTGTCATTCATCTATCAAGCATATTGTGTTTCCTATAAATTATGATGAATTATTAACATAACAGATGTATTAAACTGTTTGCCTTTTTTTTTTTAGCAGATGCTCCTTTGCCCCTCCTGATAAAACAGATCTCTTTTCTCTCCAAACTATCTCCTTGAAAGCTTTTTGTTTTATTGATTCTTAGTGTTTTTCCTTCTGCCTTCTTCTGTCCTCATTTAATGAGATGTACATTTATTCCATTCATTTAAGTAACACACTTCATACCTAATAGGGAGGCCATATTGGCTTCTTGGACTTTGCAAGTCAGCAAGATGTCAAAGAAACGGGAGTTGCCAAAGTTTTATTTTGTCAAATAAGATATTAAATAAAGGGCCTCCCTGGTGGCGCAAGGGGTTAAGCACCACACTATGAAGCAATCTGCAGCCTCTGCAGCATGAGTTCAATTCCCGGCCAGTCAGGGAGCAACCCACATGGTGCAGCAGACCCGCCCTGTCTCTCCCGCTGCTCCCCTCAACAGTGTATTTCAGTCAGTCTGCCTGTTCTGTTCCCCACTCTGTCTCTGGTGAATCCTCTCACCCCCCACACCTCTGGCCTGTACCCTAGCTCTTGTATGCATA